GCAGCTGCCCAAAGACAACATACAGGAGAAGAAAGTCAAAATTTCTTGCCTTCAGGCTGGATGAAGCCATGTGATGATAGAGAAGGGGGCACCTGGAGCTGCCCCACCACTATGACACAGAGGACACCCCAGACCAGGTGCAAGACAAAGACGTTCTCCCTTCCCCACCACAACTGTAGCTCCCCAAAATATTCTCTCCAGCTGGCTCCTGCTCACAGCACCCCACATCTATCAGGATGCAGCAGCAAGCCTGGCACCCTCCATGCTCTTTGCCAAAGGCAACTGAGAGAAGTACCCTCACCACCCCAAAGACACAGGAAAAGGGACTTCAGGATTCACGTGGACAATTTTGAAAAGCCATGAGCATCACGCCCTTACAGGTTAGCTGGGGTGGTAGGAGCTGAAATGGCATTTGTATCATGGCTTGGCCAAACCAGACACCGCAGTTCAAGGGCGGTGCTGCAGAGCAAGGTTTGGGTAAGACCATGAATGTTCAGTCATATCTTTGTTCTCATGCAAGAATGTGAAGGCTGTAGCAGCCTTACAACCAACAGCCACGGCATGCATTGAAGTTGTTAAAGCTTGTAAAATCTGATTTACTCTGTGAGGGGGGAAGGGGAAGTCATTTAGTTTGAGTCATAAGAGGTCTTGATACAATCTAAGCTTCATCATCTCTGAAGAAATAGCTCAATCCCTGGACAGATATCAAAAGGCTGCTGTGTACAGCCTTGATAACACAATAGCAGAGAACAATTCCTAGTGGTGAAGATTACAAGATCTTTGTATCAGCTGCTCTTCAGTACAGCTTCTCTCACATTACACCATCTGATGGGCACTCCAGGCTTATGGGCAGCTCTTCGGGGGTCCATGGCTCTGAGATCAAGAAGAAACAAGCTTTGCAGAGGTTTTTACGCTACAAGTATAGTTGAAAAAAAATAATTGTGCCATCTGAGGTTTCCACTGTCTGGAGCCTCACCTGCTCTAGGAGTCGCAGAGTCCGCAATTCTGCTGCAGGTGAAAGGCAGCAGGCAGGAGGGCTCGGGGTAATTCTGCCTTCGTGCCTTCATCAGAACACACAGGGGCTGGGTGATACCTGCACGGGCCTGCAAGGCTCTGCTGGCCCAGAGCCCCCCTTTCTGTGTCCCGAGTCCTGTCTGGGCCCCATGAAAAGGGATGATGCTTGAAGACCCACAAGTAGAGGAAAAGAAAGCTTAAACTCAGCCAACTACAAAATTTTATTCCCTACCTTAGCTCCTGAGGACTTTTTATTGCTGATGACATTTGTTTCTGGAAAGGAAAGGAATACACATCCGTGGGAGGCAAAAGTCGACTTTGTCACACACCCCATGGGGCTGTGTAAAGTAGCTGAGTGGGAGAATTTTTGACACCTCCCTGTGCTGGAGTAAACCCAAAAGTGTGGGCCAAGACTCTGGCAAGAGTCTCCCCCAGGGAGACGCGGGAATAGCACAGCCAACCCTGCCTCTCCACGAGAGCTGCTTTCCAGCACTCCCGCGGCCTCGGCTAGAAGCTGAATCCACACATGGCACAGAGACGCAAGAGACCAGCGGGGGACCGGGAGAGGTCAGCTAAGGTTGCTACCACTATGGCCCAACCAGAGCAAATGGCGAACGGGAACAGACCCCTGCAGAGCAGCACCAGGGAAAAACCAATGCACGTGTTCCAAATGTTCCCCTGCGCACATCGTCCCCTTTCTGCGCTTACAGGAATGGATGGAAAAACCCCCACCTACTTTGTGGAAAGAGATGCTATGGAAGCCATAAGCAAAAAGAGTAATTGATGTAGGTCATACTTTGGACAGCCATTTCCACTTGCCTGCATGTGGAAATGCAGGAGTATATGGATTATTCCTACTACCATAGACAAGAAGCACCAGATGCAGTGGGGTGAGATGCTGTTTGATTACCAGGCCCCTGTGGTAAGAAAAGACATCAGGCCTGAGCTCCTGTGCATTCTCCCAGGGACCCTGCAGCACCAGACAGTATGTACCTCCACTGTTTTTGCTTGGTAGGTAGGACATCCACCTGGTCTTTTCATCAATAACAAGCAGTTTTGACACGCTTGCAGAAGATGTGCCTTCATGGTGGCAGCCCCGTGGGTCCCACCTTCCTACTTTTTCAGTCAATTCCTTCACATCACACCAACACCAGCTGTTCAGCTGCTCCCATCAGCGAATTCACTCTACAAACAGCAGTTTTTGCAATAAAATCATAGAATCACAGAATAGTTGGGGTTGGAAGGGACCTTCAAAGGTCATCTAGTCCAGCCCCCCTGCCATGAGCAGGGACATCTTCAACTAGGTCAGGTTGCTCAGAGCCCCGTCCAACCTGATCTTGAATGTTTCCAGGGATGGGGCATCTACCACCTCTCTGGGCAACCTGGGCTAGTGTATCACCACCCTCATTGTGAAAAATTTCTTCCTTGGATCCAGTCTAAATCTACCTTCTTTTAGTTTAAAACCATTAGCCCTTGTCCTATCACTACAGGCCATGCTAAAAAGTCTGTCCCCGTCTTTTTTATAGGTCCCCTTTAAGGCTGAAATAAGGTCTCCCTGGAGCCTTCTCTTCTCCAGGCTGAACTACTCCAACTCTCTCAGCCTGTCCTCAGAGGAGAGGTGCTCCATCGCTTTGACCATTTTTGTAGCCCTCCTCTGGACCCGCTCCAGCAGGTCCATGTCTTTCTTGTGCTGAGGGCTCCAGAGCTGGATGCAGTACTGCAGGTGGGGTCTCACCGGAGCAGAGTAGAGGGGCAGAATCACCTCCCTTGACCTGCTGGCCATGGAGGCTGGGATGCTCAATGGTACAGCTACCTATAACTGCACGTACTGAAATGACAGTGCTGTAGACAGAGGTCTCAAGACACCAGGTCACACAAAGCTGATGTTCAGTACCCTACAATGATACAGTGCACCTTGTAGACTACAGCTGAGGTGGGGATAGCTCTCCATAGCAAAGACTCACTGGATCTAAGATGACAGGTGTGGCAGATCCCCATGCCTACACATAGTTTTTGCTGTGGCAGCAACTTTCCACCTGCTCACGGTTGCTCCTTGCCTTGGCTGTATGGTACAGCTACCACCTTCCGGCACACAAGTCTGCAGGTATAGTCTGTAACCAACGTGAAATATCATCTGTGACTGAGGCCAGCTGTGCTAGCAACATGCCCAGTAGGACCACTGGGCCACTACCTAGTGGAAAAATGACACTCTCTCCAGTGCTCAGATGCTCTCAAGAGGCACCCCAAAGCCACATGGATGACTGCAGGCCCATGATACGGTATTTTTCTAGCACTCAACAAGCAGATGGAGGTTTGTAACGCGTTTCTCCCAGCCAAACTTCCTGCAGAGGGATGACTAGTTTCCAGAGCGTTAAACAGACGTGTGACCACAGCCAAATGCCAGATGGCTGGAAAGAGTATTGGAGCAGCCCTCATGACGAATGTCTAGCCTTGGCTGCCAGCATCACGTACCATATGTATCAGCTCCCAGATAGGAAGGCCTGGCTGCAAGTTGGGAGTGTGACACAGGGATATTACATAGCACAATTTTTAGTGATGCCATCATACAACAGTGCAGAAAGTTTTTCCATTCACTCACTTTCTTCACTGTGCAAAGGGTTCTGCTTCAAAAGCCCTTTTACTGATTGTGTGGATGGAAAAACCTGTTTCAAAGGCAGGATGCCTAGCCCTGTGCAGGCCTCCTGCTTGAGCAGGAGATACAATTTTTGCTTCAAGAGATACAATATTTGTTTAATTCTCACAACAGATGACTTCAGGGAGTGATGAAGCATTGAAGTGTAGGTGGGTACTGTAGTTTGTGCTACTTAATCAGCTGTGGGCTAGTGTTAGGGAAGCTGATGCTTGCTGTTGAAAGGGCTATGAAGTTACAAATCTATCTCAAAGCCTCATGCAATGTATTTACAGTTACTGGGCCCCCAGGAGCACCCACAACAGCAGAACCTCTAAGCACCCTGGCTCTTTGCTCTCACTTGTAATCAGCATACAACTAGGGGAGTTGTGTCTGCATTTGATTCACGGTGCAGCCATTACCCAGGCTGACGCCCGTAATCAGGAACAGAACACAAGTGAAAAGGAAACAAGGAAAAAAAGGAAAAAAGTCTCCATTTGGCATCACTGCAGCTTCATGACCTCTTTATGCTGATTTAACTGGGCTGCCACTGAAACAACCAGCCCTAACCTTTCTGCCCACCCCGTCACAAGCTGGACCAGGGAATCTGTCTGAATGCTGTTTTACAATTCTTTAATTGGGTTCATTTTCATTTGGATCAATTAACTGAGTTGGCATACTGCTCAGCTCACCCAAGCACAGGAGGCAGCAGGAGAGCACGGTCAGCAGCAGCAGTTCACATGGAAGTTACCTAAAATATGTTGTCTTACACCCAACAGCCTCACAGCATACCAGTCTTAACCTGCCTCAACATATTCTTGCATGCACACTGACACAGCTTGCAAAAAGCTTAGCCAGTTTCAGAGATATTCAAATGCATATGCCACATCAGCAACATACAAAGCAGTCATCTGCCCAGACTGATTTCATTTATGCTTTAGTCTGTGAGACGCTTATGTCAGACATGAAATGAAGCTAGGACTTTGCAGACTCCTAATGAGAGTGAGCATGTGTGAGACAAACAGCTGGCAGACAAGTTGTAACAACCCTCAAAAACTGCAAAAGATGGTTGTCTATTTCTTTTAAAAAGGACTTTGTTGCTGGTTTTATTTTCAAGAAATACGTACAGTTGGAGAATAAAGCAGAGGCTTTTTTAGCTCTGTTGGTGTCTAAGTGGCAATCTCCAAATGCAAGTTTCAGTCATGGGACAGCATTTAACCTGTACCAGCAGAGCGCTCTGATCCCTGCATGGGATTTTGGCACTCTAGTCCATTAACTTATATTTACATTCCAGAGGTGGAGGTTGGTTCAGAGGAAGCGTGAGGATGGGAACAAGACAGGAAGACTTATTGCTTTATCACGTGGAATGGTGCTTAGTCCTTCTGAGAAGTTCAAGTCTCTTTGTAGTTAGCAGCTGGGCCAGTCCATTCATCAGCATCATAAATATGGTCAATGACATCACCAGCACATAGTGGCTAATGCTGCAAGGAGGAGACAGATAAAAGAAGTGAGAGAAAAATCCAATTTGCAGAGTAAAAAAAAAATCCCCTGACAAACAACCCTCTGAATATTTTTTTTTTTCTGTTTAACCAGGCTTAATTATTGGCCTTGTATGTCATTTTATATATGCTGTTCCTGGTCGACAACTATTATAGCAGCACTATTGTGTAAAAACCAAAGTCTGTGACAAAATAAAATGGTGGGGACAATAGAAAACACAACTGAGCGTGTACCAAGTGAAGAAGAGGCACTGGGTGTATTTTTCATTCTAGTGGGTAATTGAACGTATGTGTCAAACCATTGCAAAACGTCCATTTGCTGTGAAACGTTAACGCAGAATGTAGGGACAACTTGCCATCAGGTAGACATTCCTTGGTAGTAAGACAAGCCAGATATTTGTGTCAGCTCAAGTGCAATTTTCTAGAGAATACACTGTTCCAGTGATAAGAAGCTTTAAGAAAAAAAACCCAACCTCACACGAATTTTTCACTCAACATTTCTAAAAATTGTGGAATTCTCTGCTGCAGTAACACATGGTTTCGAAGAGATTAAACAAATGAGTTTAAGAGTGGTTAATAAACATAGTATGAAGATGCAGCTTCTGGGTTAGGAAGTCCTTAAGTCACTAATGATTAAAAGGATAACAAGCAGAGAGCTTGTTCTCCACTTGCTCAGATTCTGGCACCTGATGTTCACTGGTGTTACAGATGGGCTATTTAGTGTCACACTAAGATTCGACCCCAGATATTCAGCATCCTGTGTTCAATGTCTGAATGAAGCTGCTGTTAATGTAAATCACTAGCCATTAAGAAATTAGAATTTTTCCAAATCCAGTGACATTTCAGGCTAGAGTTGCACATGAAACACTGCTGCACCCATGTCCATCATGCATCCAGTGCGGCTGTTTGTTTTTTTACTTGGAGTACTGAAGATACTGGGGTTCTGACATGAGGGATGCCTATACCTCCAGATGCACCCATCTCCACTATTTCAAAGCAGATGGGTCTCTAGGATGAGCAGGGTAACTTCAGACTCAGTGAGGTCTGAGCTTAGTCACAAAAAGGAATTGCAAGGAGCATTTGCTGGTTTAATGACCTGGAATTTCTGCCAGAGGACTCATTCAGTTTAAGAGTTTAGCCACGGAAGAGCAGTAAAGCTTATAATGCCGATGCTATCAATCCTCATGACCCCAAGACCGTGACAACCCTGGCGCTAGCCTAGTGCAATTTAGCTCTGTGAAGTGGAGAAGCACCAGCTCTTAACAAAGCTTGGCTGCTAACCAGTGCGAGAGAATAAAAGTAATCCAAGAAGTTCACTAATGAGCAGGAGCTCTTCCACAGCCAGGATACCAGCAACCAAAGGAACCAGGGTCTGACCAAAGTGGATGGAAAACACTGAAAGGGACTTGACTCATGCTACAAGATTTTTCTGTTTCTGTTGAGTCTGACTACACCTTCTCACAAATACTTTGCTCAAAATACAGTTTTAAGAAATCAGTTGCAGAAATCCATCAGCACAAATGGGCTCAGACCTCAACAAGCATAATTCACCCTAACAGCCCGCATCTCTGCAAACTCCCATCTGTACACAGCACAACTGAAAATATTCACTGCTGTGAACAACTCAAAGATAAAAATATCAGACAGGAGCCATCTCTCCTCTGTGCCTTTCCTATAAGCATCTGCCCGCCGCCAGCTTTAGCTAAGCAGATCAAGCACACCTAAGAGCCACACTGCTCCTCTGTTTCTGTGGGGAATGTGTAAGATGACACAGCGCGAGCATGAAGTCAGGCACAAAGCATACTTTCAGCTGGTCAGCACACTTCAGACTTGGTAATTCACAGCACATTTGCAACAACAAAGATAATACAACTCCTTCAAGAGCTAGCTGCCCTTGGAAGTCCACCTGGGTGTGTTACAGGCTCAGTTTCAGTTCTCCATGGGAAAGGACATGTTGACAACTGAAAGTCAAACCCTTCTTGCAGTTATCTTCATGGCATAACATGCCCTTGGGGACCGTACAAGCACCATAGGTACAGAAGTTTGCGTGGCTCTTAAGGGCACGGCCACCCTGGTAAACAGCTGGATGGCTTAACGTCTCATGCATTACTGGTAACACCGCAACTTTCCTTCTCACCTGGAACCAGAATTGTAGTTTTTCATGTAAGTAGCAACACCACTTTCCTTCTAGCTTTCAAAGAAAGCTTGAATGAGAAATCTGAAAATGAGAAGCCAAATGAAGACCTTGCCTTTACTCCTACAGATACCCTAAAACAGTCACCAGAAGATCAGCGACTTGCTGCCCTCAGCATGGTTCTTAGACAAGCATCTGAGTTCCTGTCCACCCTAAAAAGGAGCTTTTCCAGATGTGGACGCTAATCAGTTATTTTGGAGGGCATAGAGAGGGGCTTTCTCAAAGGAAGAAAAGCCTCCACAAACTCTAGTTAGCTACCTGTCAGTCGAGGGATTGGGTCCTCCATAGTTTTGTAAAGAGGAGAGTGCTGCATACACTTCTCCCTTGCTATACTGTGAAAGGCTGAATAGTTATGCTCCCTTATGAAAATATCAGATGTGCAGAGTAAAGAAATATATACATATATTATGCCATAGAGGACAATGTAAAACAATTTTACTGTACTTGTGACAAGTGCAAACAGCCAGCATATTTGGGGCTATCAGCAACTGGTACTGCAGCGCCTGCAGGCAGCTCTGGTAAATCAGTTCTTAGGCTGGGGTAATGCTGTAATTAAACAAACAAACAAAGCGAGACTCCTACAGGTATATGGCACAACAGCACTGGCAAAATCTTGACCCCTATACAGCCTAGAACTGTACCCTTGTCTGGATCTGTAGTTACAGTGAAACATCTCAAAACAAGCCTCCTCCACCAGAAATCACACCTGAGCTAATAAGAAAAAAGAGCAAGATTCTAGGCTCCAGGCAAGTCAGATTCATGTGGAGGAAGAAGAGATATTAAATATGTACAAGAGAATAGCATAGTGGGGCAATGCTTATAAAGGATGAGATGGGCAGGGACAGGTAACGGTAGAGAAGAGGTAGCTGGTGTAAGGGATCATGGATGATCTAAGGTAAGGCAGCGCTGTTCCATGGAAAGGTGAGTGCCCTATGTATGGATCAAGGTCAACAGGCAAAGCTGGTGCTAGGAAAACTTTGGATCAGGGAGGGAGACACCTGCTTTGGTGGCAAGGAATCAGGAGAACATGAGGTACTATCATCTCCTGGCTTTCTTTGTGACAATGTACATCAGTGAGAAGTACTAATCAAAGACAAGAAGAATCAAAGATCAGTTAAAAAAAAAAAGGAGGGGAGGAGGGGGCAGAAATCAATCTTTCTCCAAAAACATGGCTTTCTCCCAAGACAGGCTAATTCCTAAGATGGTAGATCTGATTAGAAGCTAGGAAGACAGGAAGATGGAGTAAGTTACCATAGCAATTAAAAAATAAGAATAAAACACGTAAAATAAAAATAACTTGTGCAAGGACTTGGGAGAGCACTCTCAAGAAGAGTCTGAGGATCTTGTTTCTACATGACATGATACTTTCAACTGTGGGATTGTTCCCAAGCACACACTGAGACCCCAGATTTAGATTCTGAATTTTAAGTCTGCTGCATTTCCAGCTGGGATCCCCCACTCTCCTCTGTTTCACACAAAACAAATCACAAAGCACATCACTGCTTGCTCTTGTTACAGAAAGTGTTGGTAAACACTGTTTTTCTCCTGGTTACATGACCTTTGTTTCAGTAGTCAGACCTAGAAGCCCCAGCATCCCAAACTTGAAACAGACTCTGTTATCCTAAAACCTAAAAAACAGTCTCCTGTGCTTTATCTATGTCAGTGTCCCCTGAACTTTGAAACTGCATGAGAACAGTTAAGATTGTATCTTTCTCTTTATCTTCCAGCAACTGTTATAAAAAGAGGGAGTAGCACAGTATGTGTCTGTATAAAACTATATAATACTTTATATGACTATAAAGAAGCTTTAGGGTTTATCTTGACTACCTGAATATCCAGCTATTTACAAAATGCATATACTGTATAGATATCATAGGCTTTAAAGGCTATATCTCTCTATCTATAGATAACTACAGATAGAGATAGATAAACATACCATTTAAGCCAGAGAGAAATTATTTTAGTGACAAAGCAGCTGAGAAACTAGCTATTCCATTTGTCTGTTATGCAAAAATAAAAGAATCTGTCAGAACAAACATCTTGATCACATACTACACACTGATACATCAAAAATACTAGCATTATTATTTTTATGAAACATAATGATGTATTCTTCCAGCGCATATGATGCAATTTAGGGTGACCTCAAGATATATACGTAGAGGGTAAGGTTAGCAGACCTCAGAAGCTCCCGTAAGCCACTGCTACGAGTTCTGCATTCACGGCAAAATTATTATCCTCTTACATCAAAACAATGAAAAGCACTCTCTGAAAAACAAGTTCACATTGGTTTTGGCATGACCATTAAGCAAAAGGGCTTTAAGACTTTCTAAGAAGCCATAAGTATTTATGGTAATTGATAATTTACTGAGAGGAGGGACTCAATGGTGCGTTGATAGTTTGCTGAATGTGGTAACACAGGACTGTATGTCGGATCTGTTGTTACTCAGTATTTCATGAATGATCTGGAAGAGTGGGAAAAGCAGAAATCTCTTTGCATTCAAAGACAATATGTAAGTGGCATGGTGAATTCAACGGGGAGAACAAAGACATCACATTGTTAGGGCAGATATGAAGCATGGTAAAGTGACATGTAATGTGGTTAAGGCATGGTAGAATGAGATGTAAAAGCCAGGAGTTAGGGGTGAAATTAAAAAAAAAGGAAATATGTCAGTTCAGTAAACCAACCCTACTTCCAAACAGTGAGAGAGGTCCACTAGGAAAAAAAAAACACCACCATAAAAAAGCAGTTGTCTTTTTATTACAAGCTATTTAAAACCAGCTCTTACACATGGAACTTCTGAGCACTGGTATTTGAAAACCCAAGTATTGCCTGATGAGGGCTTCCTACTGAACTTGCACATTCTTAGTTAGAGAGAGGACATACAAAAGTTCTGAAGCATGGTAATTATAAAATCCATAGAAAGCTATCACCACAAAAAAGAATGGGTACAGAAATATATATCAGAAGCTTTGCAAATGCAGCACATACACCACTGCACTCTGACAGGTTTCAGAGGAATGAAATCTTCACTGGGCAATTAAATTGCTGCTTTTCCACCTGTAATTGCAGTGATGTAGTAACTAGTAACATAAAATAAGCCCTGCTAATTGTGCATACACACGTCCCATCAATGACATACACACACACAAAAAAAAAAAGATGAGAGCACCCTAAGGGTGCTCCTCTTTGTTCCATGAAATCCTACATAGGTTTTGTAGAGATACAATTGGAAAAAAAGAACTGTCATTTCCTTAACTGACTCAGCCTTCTTGGGAAAATTTTGGCAACACCTAAAATGTCAACTGAGATGGGATATTTTCAGACCTTGCTGTCAAAGCAACAAGAGACAACACTGCAATGGGAATGCCACAGAGCTGTCACTGCAGTCGTAACAGGAGGACAGGAAAGAGCCATGTTAGTATCTCTCTCCCACTGCTTTTGGGAATTGTCCAAGACCCCATGAAGCTCATCTTCCCTTTCAGGAATAAACAAAAAAAACCTTCTGCTGTTGCCTGCTAATTTTACCACACTTGAGGATTCACACAGAAGGTTCAGGTGCCAAAATATTGCTCATGCTAGGTAAAAGAAGGACTACTTCAGTTCTACGCCTACGGCTTTACCTCTTTCCTTATGCTACCTACTAATTTTTTACCTTATGCACATATACACACATACATAAAAAGCACATATAAAGAGACTACAATAAAATAATGTAGGTGGCAAAGTCAAGCACTAGAAAGTGAATTAACGACAAATTTAAGGTTGCCTGGGAATTATGTGTTACTATGTTACAAATTAATCACAAATTACTCTTTTGAAAGGACTTGCTCAGTGCTTTCTTCAGTGCTTAAAATACACACACAGAGAGGCAGAATTACAGATGTGCATAATGAGCTCCCCTAAACTCTTTGGGATACGGCAAACTTCCAGCTGAAATGGATCCAACAATCTATCACCATTGTAAATCTATGCTATGAAGACTGTAAATCAGAGAGGAAGTTTTTGGGTACTTGTAACAATTTATATTTTTGCTTGCTAACTCCTAATTAAAAAGCTTCTTGCTCAGCAGAACAGAGCTTGTCTCAGGTCTTTAATATCCTTATTAATCTGCATAGGAATTCAATCCAAAGGATGAGGCTATCTGATTTACCATAAGCTGACCACAGCAAGGAAGTGTGATGTTAAAGCGTCGTTTCCTCTATTTGATCTAACTGTATCTCCTCCCATCAGGAACCTTCAAAAGGTAGCTACAAGCAGGAATTTGAGCCTCCAAAGAAAACATGCAGAATACGTGTGCATGTGTGTGTACATGCATACATGAGCTGGAGGGAACATTGGGGCTCAGCAAAGCACAGAGTAAATGTAGACTAAACAGAATATTAACAACGGGTCACTATTCAACATCTGTTTAAATAACAGCATCAAGTGACCAGATTGGCTGGATTATTAACAACGCCTTCCCTACAAAGCATATTACAGCATATTATCTATTTCCACAACTCATGGAAGGTAAACCTGAAATGTGTATTCCTTGTATTTTTTATTCCTAGACTATTCACAAATAAGACTTGCAGAGTCGAAAACCCACCCCATGATGTATGCTGTGGAGGCTAGTACAGCTCATAATACAAAACAAATTCTCTCATTTTACCTGTGATTTCTATGTTTAAATGCTACAGATTTACTCTTCCCCAACTAGGGGAAGAGTAAAAAAACCCCCCAACAAGGGGTCCTGGTAGCCATCAACACATTCGCACAAGGTTCATTAATTCACAGGGGAATTAATGGAGGCTTAACTAGATTCAAAACAATTAACAATCTTGATAAATTGTTATTTCAAAGGTGATTACAACTAATTAAAATGCAGAACAGTAATTAAAATATTTTTTGTGTAACTTCTGTTCTTTAGAAATCAAAGAAGTCCTACTTCCTGTATTTCTTGCCATGCTAGATTCACTACTCCATGTTGCTCTGGAACAGATTTCAAGACACACGTTTTAGCCTGGGATATATGTATATGTACATATGTGTGCACACATGTGTGCACATGTGTTTTAGGTATGGGGAACATCACTGAAGCATTTGATGAAGGAGAGTAATTGGAAAAATTACAAGAATTCTGAGAAGATAAACAACAATATTAACCTATGTACCTTTTAAAAATTCAAGAGACAAAAACACCCCAAACAACTGTACCTTGTTCCAATATCCAGCCAGCTTCCATAATCTTTAACCAAAAAGAAAAAATGCTAGGAAATAAAATAATTTTGATTAATACATCAACATTACATTACATAATGTATTTTGTGTTACAAAATTAAAACTCATGTTTTCAGGCTGTTTACTCCAAGTTTCTAACTATTCAAGTAAAACAATGGCGAGACTTTTCCAGGAATGCTCATTTGGACCAAAGTAAGGAATAGTCTAGGAGCCAGAAATAGATTTATCATGGTATCAAACACAAACAGCTAAAGATGGACTAAGTTCTGTCAAGCTGGGCTTGTACGAAACAAGATTGCCATCAGAATTTTTTCAGTAAGAAAATCCAAGCCACCTTATTGCTTGAAATAACAGGATCCCAAATAACACCTAGTGTCAAAGAGAAGGCTGCATATTTTTTTTATGGAATTCTGCCACAAATTTCTTTGGGCAACTCTGGCAGTTCGCGACCTGTAAAAAGGGAATAATGTTGGGAGAAGACAACGCTTGTCTATTAATGAATCCGCCAAATTCCAGCTAGTGGCCACATTGATTCAAGACCACAAACCAGTTCTCTTTTTTTTTTTCCTGCCAACTTTCTCATTTCTTGATATACACACAGCTCCCGCATAACAAACCACTTGGACAATATTTTGTTTTGTACACCAACTATATATTTGCGAATTGTTTTAAAATGGTTAAACCAAAATAGGATAATAGGTGAGATGTAAGACCTGGGTATACTGGGGCTTGGTGCACACCAGTATATGCCTGCACGCTTTTTTTGGTCTAGGTAGATTGATTTTTATTAGTGAAATGCCATGAGTGTGGTTTACCGGTATTTTAATCCTTTTCCTGGGGAAGTTATAAAAAATCAGATTAGTCACACAGATTTATTTGAAACCACAAAAAACCTAAGCCTTCTCTATTTCTTACTATACAGACAAATTAGTAATTTTTTTTACTCACTGTTTTTTCCTATCACGTGAGATCCACAGATCACACTGTATGAGGAAATCTCATCAGGAACGCATACTCCAAAGGAACAAAACTAAAACGGCATGTATGAAGCGAGAACACCAGCTCTACCTGCTGCTTTGGAAAGGTTTCCCTTTACCTTGTGATACCCAGGGGCACTGCTTGCTGGGTTGAAGACAGTTTGAGGGGGCAATGTAATCTGTAATGTTTTAATCTGTAAAATTTACATTGGGATACTGTTCAGCTTTGGGTTGTTTTAGCTAGCTTGGTTTGTGGACGCAAGCTTTCTGGAGATAGCATTTCCTAACAGTTTATTACAAAGGGCATGAAGTGTTTTTCCGGATGTTGCTCACCTCCTAGATTCTGACAAGTCTAGCAGAGCTGGTGGGTAATGCACTCGCTCCTTTTCCTCTCTTTTTCAAGGGAAGGTAGGGTGAGTCAAATGTTCAAAATTCCTGAAAAATTAACTAAACCCTGCACACAGCTAAAGCAGATATTCTTATTTAAATTCTTCCTAAGAATTTGATTGGAATGCACATGAAAAACTCAGAATGATAACTTATTACTTCATTTTTGTCTATTATTATTATTATAAGAACATTGCTTCTTCAGAAGCATTAATTACATGAAATTCAAAGAGCACTGACTGGAGGAGTTTTATCTCTAAAATTATGCTAGGATTTCAATCCAATTCACTGTCCTAGTTACAAAAACTTTGAAGTCTGAAACAAATTCCAATCTTTCTAGACAGAGTTAGAAGAGCCCTCTGCTTATTGATCTTATTTGAAGAGAATGTGCAACAACAACTTACCAAAGCCATAATGTCTGAAATCACAAGAACAATGAGGAAAAGGCTGCAAAGACAAAAAAAAGAACGAGACCATCAACCTTTATTAATGGCCACAGGTGCTACAAAGCTTATGTTACACTCCATAAAGAAATTAAAATAAAATATGATCTCTTGTACTTGCCTTTCAATCACTCAGACACATTTCAATTTATTATAGAACAGTTAAAACATATGGCTAGAACATCTGGCATTTGTAATGCCATCCTGCTTTAAAAAGACATTTCCCATTAACAGAGTTTCAATTTTGCAACAGAGAAACCTAACAGGAATCATTTACCGGATAACAAGAGCATCTTGTGAACAGTGCCTGCCTCCTCCTGATGCAGGGCGCTCATGTGCTGGTTAGGCCAAATAAAGCATATTTAGACATTTCAAGACGGACTCAAGAGTAAGCAAAGCTGTTTGGCATAGGCAGTCAGATACCTGAACTGACCAGTCCTATCCTGACAGCCACCCTGGTGGGTAGGTGTCTGCTAAATAGAGGTGCTCGCCCCACTTCCAGATCTCTGGGGGCCTGTAACCTGCTCTGGGAACATGCAGAATTTTGGTGGTGTGCTCCCAAACCCATGGGCCTCTGTCAGGTAGAAGGTTACTTCTGGAAAGTTGGCTGTAGCCAGTAAAAGGAACCAGAAGGGAGCATGCACAGCTACTTTTTCCCCCCATTAACCTAATCTTCTTTTCATTAAACTATGTAAATCCTAAATTACACGAAAGCAATTGCTATAACTGGTTAAAACTAGTTTCTAAGTTAATGACACTGAAGCAATGTTGCAAACAGCCGACCCATTAACAGAGAAGTCTTTAACTAGAATACAGTTAATTTATCAGTACTATCATCATAAATTCATGAAGCTTTTTTGGGAAATTCTGCAGCATTGCACAAGCATGTACTGGGGGGGCACCCATACCAATGCCTCCTGATGAGGAAGCTGCTGGTACTGCCTATGTCAGCTATGCTTCATTAGCAAATAAGGATGCAACAAACTGACTCAACCTCGGATGCACTGAAAGGCTTCTCTCCTCTTGCATATGGCTCAGATGGGGTGTTGCGATCCCGTAGTGCCTCGGAGGCACTCAGCTAGAGGGCTGTTTTCACAGGCGAGCTCCAAGAACATATTCTGACAGAATATTCCCCATGAACAGCAAAGAAAAAAAAATCTTTAATCTGTCAAGAGGGAGTTTAGAAACAATTTGTCCAAGTCACAAAAATCTACTTTTTGCCCTCTGAACTGCAGGAAGCCTTTCACAACAGAAGGACAACGCTAATTTCAGGGCAAGTTTATACACTAAAAAGACAAGATTGTCCCCTGTGATGGCTTAATTTCTCTAGCAGGGACAGCAAGAGCAATAAAGAGCGCAGCACAGACTTCAGGATGGGCTGACAATCAGAGCACCACCTCTCCAGGGATCCTGGGCACATCTTGTGGTTTCTGCCTTGTTCCCAGGCTGACGCTGTGGCAGTACCACTGCTACTGTTACCTGGGCACGGCTAAATGAAGCCGGCGCAAATACTGTCCGGACTTACAAGCATAGCCTCATAAAGCAGCACAGATGTACCTGGTTTAAGGAGCTGATACTACTTCCCCTCTCACATACTCATATGCACACTCCGTAAAAGCTTGCAATATCACTGATGCTGCCAAGGCAAGGGATCACAAGTGAGGAAATGCTGACCTTTATGATGCCTGAGCCCTAGAAGTATAAATTGCTAACTAGTCTGCTGAGCAACCCCAATTCCTCAATGCAGCCCTGCTTCTGTATAAGCTTTAGTGAGGACGACGAAAATCCTTCCTTGGGGGTCCAGGGACAGACCAAGTACGTTGCATGCACAGCTAAGGCAGAGAAGGTAAAAGGGGTGGTGAGCCTTGTGCTTCCTCTCCAAGAAATCAGATGTCGGGCTGCGATGTCCCTCGTTAGTACCACGTGGCATTGTATAAGGGGAAAACAGGCAGGGCACAGGCAGGATGAAAACAAACAGAAAGGCAGAGGGCATCACGCTGAGCAAAAGCAGCTTCCTCCCACTCAGCTGACTGATACACAGGACAGGGTCTCTGCAGTCCCCCTGCCACTGTCCAGCAAGACTTTCGGTCGACCCCATGCAATATCCCACGGTGAACAAACTCAAAACTACATGGCTGACAGGGACCTCCTCCATCTCAGCACCATTCATAATCCCACATGATGAGCAGAGGATTCAGTCATGTGCTGAAGGGGTAGGGAGGGCTAACAGTTAAAAAAATAAAAATCTTGAGACCGTGAAAAGAGTAAGGGTAGTTCAAGTCCAGGCACAGCACTCTGCGAGGCTGGGCACCCGTCCCACGTTCTCTGTGAGAAGTTTTTAGAGATGGAGAAAGGACTGGCAGCCACCGAGTCCTACTGCAAAAAATATGTACTACTGAACACACCTGGGAAGCACTGAACTGCAATGAAAGGGCATAGAGCCTTTTTTTTTTTTTAAATGTTATTTGTGATGAGGTCAGTGCTACAAAGCTGTAAATTGGTTACATTATAAATGAGTTATTTTTAAAATATTGTACTATAGCCAGAGATGTAATATATAACCAAAATTCATAGTTTAAATGATGCTCATTTTTCTACATTAGGGGGGAAAGTGCTACTTCTGTGTATTGTAAACAAAGAATATTAAATATCTGATTGTTTCAGACAGGGCCAACACTTCCATTTATACTCATTATCACTAAGAACTCCTAAGCTTGCAAAATCACTGAACAAACACCCAAACCATAATAAAAGTAACAATGTGACCTACTGTTTTTCTTAAATTTAGTTTGAGATTTGACAATTCTGAATTCTTGCAAAATAGGTTTGAAACCCTTACTAATGCAGAAATACAGCACTTACTGTACCTCTTAGAAGACAGTTGTGTTGTGACTTGAACAGCTTCAAAAGCACATGATACCAGAACAAATGGGATTACAACCTGTTTAAAACATAAGCTACATTGTGGTTTATAGCCATATTTACAAAACAACCTGGCACATTGTGGAAACATTCTCCTGCTTTTGAAACTATCACAGAATGTGTATGTTACAAAAATAAAATATTGACAAGAAAGGGTAGAAACTCATTTTGCAAGCAGCACATTTAGTAAATCACGAAAAAGTCCCTTCCATGCTCACAGCTGAAGTGCAGTGAAATAAGCCATGAGGCAGTATGGAAATACATAATTAACATACCTTAATGATCCTCACTTCATGTATCCATTTTAGCACTAATGATAAATACCTCAAGAAGGCTAGAAGACAGAACTATTCAGATCCAGCATCTCATGTGAGAGGCTTGCAGAGTTCCAAGCGTAATAGGACAATCTCACCTCAACCCCCCAAAAAATCTGAATATAGAATGTATTCTATACAAGGCAAGGCAAGGCAAGGATCACACTGCCCCTCCAAAGCCAAGTCAAGCAAATAGAAACAGTTGAGTAAATTAAGAACAAAACAATCAAACAAGTTAAAAACATGAATGTTGCCTTTTGCTCGCTTGAAAGTTGACTTGTAATCCTCAAGTTTGTAGTGTAAATGCGTTGCTAAAACCTCTTCTCTCACATCCAGAAGGTTTGCATTATTGCCTTAATGTCCTGCAGTATAACATGCAGTATAGCTGTAACTTAAGTCTGCTTTCTCTGGGACAGAGGCAGCAGAAAGGCAGAGGCAGGAAATAACGCTTATTTCAGCAATAACAAATTCCATGTCTCCCGTCCTGTTTGCCTCTTTGCTCGTCTGACAGATCCTTTACTCAAATATTAGCAAAGAGCTCCCACACCTTGCCTGCAAACAAGAATTGCAATCCAATCTTTGGTAGATTATTAAAAAATAGAAAAAAAAAATGAATTGTAAAATGATAACCTAATCAGTAGAGCATTCAAAGCCTCTACTTAATGTAATGTAGATAGAGCTAATAAAATATATATATATCCTCAATGTCTCTGTAGATATTATACTATAGGGAAAGCTTAAAATTTTAAAAATAATTTAAGTGTTTTCAACATTTAAAATTTCCATTTTAATACAATAAACTGATCTAATGCAGTTAAATTATACTTCCATGCACTTTAGCTTCTCTCTTTTCGGGAACAGATGGATCCGCCTCCAGAAGCCCTACAAAGGCTGAAAGCTTCACACATGGTTAAGGTGGCTAATGAAGCTCAAATACATATATATATATTTTTGTAAATTGCAAAGTAAGAACCATGTACATGATATGTTATTTATTAAACAGTTCTTTGAGAAAATTTCACTAAAGGTAAGATTACTAACCTTTAGCACAAGCAAGCCTCCCATCATGAAAGGACTGAACACAGTCAAGAAACAATAGACAGAAGCAGGATCAAAACTAGAGAAACACAAAAAAGACATTACAACATATTCTTGAAATGGCATTTTCCATTAAAAAAACAGAGCATTTAGTTACTCCTGTAACATACTGTGCGTATATACATTTTTAAACAAGGCTTACAACCTTCTCTTCTCTTGCTCAAATATTAGTTTAGTAAGGACAGCCTACCTCACTTTTCTTTCTCTACAATTTTTCTCTGCTCATGTCTTTCGAAGTGCCATGCTGTTGGTGAGCAGCCAAACTCTCTCTGCTCATGCTGCCAATAACTTCTAACGTAAATTGAGATGACCTTGTAAGCAACAAGCTCAGGTTCTTAGGGAACATGTTACAGAGAGCAGAAACAAAATAAATTATCATTGTTGTCCACTGGCTATTGCTTTAATTCTGCTGCCCTGATTTTGCTAACCAAATTTATATTTAGTATGTCAACTGCAGGGAAAACTTTTTATACCCTGTGTCTCAAACCAATTAATAAAATTTACCTGTTAACAGAAGCTATGTTTCCAGTGCCAAAAAAGGCTGTCACTATGAAGAAAACCTAGATGTATTTAAGGAAAATACACCACAGAAATGGCTGCAGTAAAACAAAAACCAGCATTTCCCCCCCTTCATTCCAATTTGCCTTCGAAATCCTATCATGAAACTACAAAAAGCTGACGCACTATTACAGCTTTACACTGTATTAAGAAATCCAAAGTATTGTCTAGCTTTACCCAAGATTTCACACATGACTATGTCAATTTTGAAAGACAGGGACTGCCTGGGTAAGGTTTTAGAGCCTGTCTTGAGGCCCCTGCCAGAAAGCTGCAGCTTGTTTTTCCTGGGCCCATACCTAGCGAGATAGGAGCACCCCAGGACCACAGTCCCAGCTGTGCATTCAAACACACAGGCTTTTGCAGAAAGTAATGACATATGCATGTGTACCGCACACCCAAAGAGATGGCTTTATTAAGGAATTGGCAGTGGAAAAGGTAGTTGGCTATGAAACAAGACTAAAGGCTCCTACTGCTATCCCTCCCATAGGTTTGTTGTCCAAAGGTTATGCTGAGTCTATCCATTGCAACATGGGAGTCACAGTTTTTTCTTTACTTGAGGGAGGGAGGATGACTCTGGCAGTGTCTATATAGCTGGAATGTTTTTTTTTTTTAATAAACCCTACCCTTTTCATCTAGGTACAACACTTGCTGCTATATGAGCCTATGAAAGATATTTTTGTACCTCCTGAGCTCATTGGGGCCCATTATAGCTCACATTTCTTTAGTCAAAGAATGGTTTTTAAGCTTCTATTTTCATCAGACAGAGGGTTAGTCAGTGACGATGGCTGCTGTTGTTGGAGCTCCCTCTGGTCCTTCCACTCCTGTTCTAGCTCCTGCACTGGATCATTTAAGTCTCTGCATAAACAATGTGCTACCAACTGTTCAGCAAAATCGCTGGGATTGTGCATGCAATATTTTGGAAGGATTAGGTCAGCATAACTAAAGAAATTATGCTTCCCAAGAGTATCACATCATTTCAAGTTTAGCAACACAGTGGTCTAACCACATAGCACAGTTCTGCCAGTTAAGATTTATAAGGAAAACAGTTCTGCAATAAAACAAAAAATGCTAGTAGCAGGTCTAATCCAACTGCTAAGCATAAACAATCTGAATCTTCTTCTGGAAGATCAGGTGATAAGCTCCCTCAGCACATACTGACTTTTGGGCCCTGTATAGGAAGCTTGAGAAAATCTTAAGATATACAGCTCATAGGGTCGTAGCTGCAATGTAACTGCTCTAGTAGAAAAGATTTCTCTTCTAATACCGCTATTTCCAAACATTAAACAGCATCTAAATTAAAAAAGCCACATCTTTTGAGCAGGTGTGTATCATACCTGCTATCTGTAAAGGAGACCTGCAAATTGTGTATTTTTTTTAGGAGCTGAACAAAATACATTCAAGTGTTTTAGATTAAGATAAGATTAAAGTAGTCCTACATGCAAGTGTTAGATTAAAGTAGTACTATGCTGGAGCTTTAAAAAAAATACAATTGGATTGTTTGATTTTGCTTTGACTAATTTTTAGCATCTGACAGACAGCAGTAGCTTTACTAAATTTAGCTTATTTTTTGTTAAAATAGCAAACTAGCAAATGAAATAGGTAAGCTTACTGCAAGGTGTCTCAGCTGCTTTTCAGGTATAACCTAAAGCAAACAGAAACATTCAACACCTAGCAAATTGTTTTTCCTCCTTCCATAGTGCCAAACTGCCTTCTTAATGAGGTATCTGTCACACCTCCTCTGCTATAGGTTCCCAATGTCCAACAGCATGGTCCCAAATTCCAACAGCATGGACTCTGCAACTGTGATCCACCCTCTCAGATTTGGTTATTCTACAAACTATAAAGCCTGGTTTTGCAGGAACGAGTATTGAGACAACTCCCTCCCCAGCCCCAGCTATGATAACCCACCTGCGCTAGAAACCCCGATGTTCTAGACTGGCTCATAGTTTTTCTCCCACTTGCACACCCATCGCCCTTGCTGCCAAATACCTTTCACTTAACTGCAGTCCCACAACAGAAGAGAAAAATGACAATGTTATCAAGTCTGTACAGTATTAAAAAAAAAAAATCAGCTGTAGTTGCAGTTACAGTAATGCAAAATAACTGCTATGTTAGTGAACAAGCAGCTCTTCCCTCCCAAGCCCATTTCTACCAGCAGAAACCATGTGTGACAAAAGTAATTCTAGGCCAGATTCTGGGAACACGTTTGACTAAGAGTCTACAGGAACTTTCCTTCTCCTCTCATCTGCCTGGCCATGGCCAATGCCTGCCCCTTAACATTTTCTTCTTAACACAGTGCAATACTCTAAAAAATGAGAAAATGAGAATAACTTCAATATCGCCTTTTCCAACTGATTTGTGAACGTTGAATGAGTTCTCTCCAGCCAAAATATAATAAAACAAAACCAAACTGAAAACAGGACTCCTTAGAAGAAAGTTTACCTCAACTGTAATGGCCATAAGAGATGAAACTTTTCAAAGTGGCCAAGGAGCCAGATTCCAAAATAGTGCAGTTCATACTGAATTTTTTACTACTTCATCAAAAAAACATAATGTACAAGACCACTGTCTTTTGAGCAACATGAGTCAAATCACCTTTACCATCTTCTGTTTCCAGTGGTTACCAGGCTACGAATTTTGACTGCGGGGCCTTTTGAAACAATCCCATCTTTCCCCTGGAACGCTGCAACTGGCAAAAGGATACAAAGAAGAAAGACCTGCGGACATCATCTAGGTGGAGCTGTCGAAACTGAGTTATATCAATAGCATAGGTGAAGTTGAAAACTGCAAGCTGGAAAGACAACAGAAGAAATCAATATTGAGTATCAACTAATGTACTTTGACAGAACCACCATATTTTTACTTAAATGAATGTGAAATAAACCTACTTCCCTATCAGCTGTTATTAGAGTAGTATTATGATGAGGACTGCAAACCTTTCCCATATTTTCATTATACTTTGATGAATCTGCCAAAAGGATTGTACAAGTGAGATGATCAAATGAACAGTGGAGGTTCTGCTGTTACCTACACTAAAAATGAACTTCTATGCCTTAGACTTATCATCATCTTTCTTCATCATAAATATGCCTCCTACACACAGACACACTTCCACTGCTCACATAAGCATGTGAATAAAGACCCACAGAAATAAAGGACTGCAATTATCCTCAGTTGACTTATGTAGTGAGTGAGAATACTAAAATATTCTCCATCTCCTTCACTCAGTTCTCAGCACAGTATCACTTGACCTGAAGAGAAATTGTCTTCATGGAGATTAAGGGGTCAACGAACTCCTTTTCACTGCGTGAAGTAATAGACATTCAACACCGACAACAGTTTAATTAAAAATAATCTCACATCAGAGAACTGAGCTGGATTCTCTAATACAAGATTTACTTTGTGGCATATATTAGCAGGCATTCTAGAGATGATTTTTCTAACCTAAAAACGTGAAGCAGGGGCAAGCACTTTTGTTCCTTTCACTTGAAGCCAAAAGTCAAATGACATACAGGGAGTGACAACAGAAAACTTAATTACAGCTTACCTATGTTCTTTCCATTTGCCTTTGATTAATGAAGTGTTCATCACTGTTTAATACTGCTTTAATAGAATTTTATTTTAAAACAAACAGAACATCAGACCACCATCAGGCAGGCAAGCACCACAGATGCCTTTTTACAAGATGTGAAAGGTAGGATGGGTTCTAGAGTGGAAGAGAAAGTACATCCCACAGATGACTCTGCCGTGCTAGAAACCTCCAGCTGCAATCATGGCTTCACGCTAAGTGTACATTTTTACATTGAGATTCTATCGCTATCACTTAAGATGCTACAAAACATGCTCACACAAAATATCATAACTAAGCGTAGCATAAATAAAAAGCAATTCCTGTTTTCATTTCTGATATTCAGCCTTGAATTGGTAAAGCCTGTTCTCTCTCAAGTTTTAAAACTGTTTCCCTTGCAGTCGAACCACAAAAGCACAGTACGTGTCAGGTCCGCTCTGGTGACTACCTTGGCTCAGCTTTCACCTCCCGGCACTTCTCCCTAGTTATTACGAGCTGCAAAAGGAAGGAAAGATGTGTACCTCTGCTTTTCTTACAAGTGACTCTGGCCACTCCCATGCATCTGTACGCAGGTTGTCTGTGACCTGCGCCAAGGATGGCACATTTTGGAGAAGTAGGGGAGAGCTGTGCTGCCAACCTGCCTGGGTCCAAGCACCCAGATGACTCTGCAACCAGCACTTTGGATCTAACCAAATCAATGGCATACCCACAGTTTGTTAAACCCTTGACCTAATCTAAAAGGTAAGTAGCAGTGGGAGCAGCATGGGGTTTGAAAAATTGCTGACAGTATACAAAATTTTAAGGTGAAGAAGATGCATTGATTACAAAACTCCCCCTCCAGGCAAATCCAAGAAGGTGCTAGTTCCTTGTCTGTCTAATCAGAAATAAAACTCTGTCCTGGAAGAAAGGGTGGAAGGACAAAGTCAGACTAAGATTTCTGGTATTTCCTATGGGTCATTTCAGAAATCAAATTATTTCTTTTCAGCCTCTCACTCAGGACACTGCCATCAAAATAAAAATGTACAGTGACATTGTACTTACTCTAAAGAGTTACCTTATGCTGAACTAGCACTACGCTTGATGAACAGAGATTTGTAGCCTACAGAATGTACCACTAAGTCAAACTGATCTCCTGCATTCCTAGAAATGGCTCTGACGTGGAATATCTTCAACAACATCAATTATAAATCTCTTTTACAAGGTCACATTCCTATTTTATAAAACAGATGATAGTGGCTACCCAAACCTTAAAGAAATGCAAAGTGTTGCTCTGTGGAAACCACTCAGAATATTTATTATCTCCTCAAGGGGAAGAAAAAAAAAGATAAAGCTGATAATTAACCTGATATAGCTATTTGGAGCTGTTACCTTTGGTTTGAGTGAAAGACCATAGTGCTGCAGTGCTTCTTGCTCCATATTTATCCACACAAACATCAAACCAGACAGCACCAGTGGAAACAGAGCTTCATACCTGAAGAGTAGCATAATAATCATATTAAGTGTCTAACAACTATTTAACATCAAATACCGACATGTGTATTTTCTTTTTTCTTCACACAAATGACATACCAAAGACCTATTGGCATTCTCCCACTTCTCTCCCCATTTCTGAGGAGTACCCACAGTTGGCTGGTTAAAGTTTAAAGTAAAGAAAAATAGGAGAAACAGAGGCTGCTTCAGCCTTGTCACGTTTTGCACCCATTTTTCTCATTTGATGGGTGATAAAACATTGGATGAGTGCCCTTTGTGTCATGATTAATTTTAACAAAACTGGAATAAAATTAAAAAGAAGCAGGGGGAAAAAAAAAAATCACATTTGGCACCCATTTTCTGCGAAACTGAAAAGTTTGTAATGAGAGCTATTTAGAACTGAGGGGTTGCAGTCCAACCTAGACAGCAACTAGAGATTGTGGCGCTTTAGGGCCTAATCACACAAACTCATTCTGGTGATCTCAGTCTAGTTCCAAGGAGAGAGGCATCTCTGTAACAAAAAGATCATTGCATTTCACTGAAGTGAAATGTCCTTTTCTTTACTATATACCACCGCATTGCAATAGCAGCATCAAGTTATGCTCTAACCAAGGCCACTATGCTGTTCTGGCTACACCCCCAATCTCAGAGGAGTACTTCTGGCTCCTACAACACTCAAACATAGCAAACTATAAGTGTACTTATGTGAGAGAATACAACCCCCAGATAACTTAGGGGTGCAGATTGTCATTGGATAATATTAGTTTCTCCTCACCCTCTACGTCTCAGCTGCACTTCATGGTGCCTCAGGTTTTTTTTTCTTTCAGGAGATAAAATTATAATACTGACACTGCCTCTGACACTAATAGTGACAAGATTGTAAATTTTTTCCTTTTTACTTTTTTCTGCCTGGGACACACACTAATTTATCTAAAAATAAGAAAATCATTGCAATTCATCTTAGTATTGTGCCTCCCCACTAGAGGGAGTGTGGGAAGGAATTGTACAAAGCAATTTCAAATTGGAACAAAAAATTTTTGATAGACATTTCCACTTCAATTATCACAATGACAAGCAGTTAAACATGAAGACAACAACAGTTGGGTTGTCAGTAACTTACAATCCTCACAGTGGTCTAGACTTGCCTACAAACTGAATGTCTTCAACTGAGTCAGTGACAACTGGTTGTATGCAACCATGCTCTTCAGCTGGCTTCAGCACTTCCAATAAACTGCACCTAGAGAGGTGCTGTAATTACCTGAGCAATGCACTGGGTTATCATTACGTGGTATAACAGAGCACTGAGGAGAGAAACACTGCATACTTTTGGCACAGAGTGCCTTGTTTTTGCGATGATCAGTTGTTTTGGGGTTTTGTGGTTTTTTTTGGTTGGTTGGGTTTTTTTGGTTTTGTTCTTTTGCTTGTTTTTTCAAGAATTCTTCCAAAATTTGTTGGTCTACTTGAACATTGTACAAAGACAGTAGAGGGCTATCAGCATTTAAGTGGTCTGGTGCAGGGCCAGTAATGTCTGGGGGGAAAAAGGGCCTGCAAAGAGGGAGGTTACCAGCCTCAGAGAGGCATTCATGGTTTATCCAGTACCCAGGACAGGCTAAGAAGGTTGAGTGTAAGAGTGTGTGTGCAGACAGGAATAAGAGTAGGATCAAAATCTTAATGGGGAAGTGAGAGGAAGGGGAGGCAGGAAATTAAAAAAAAAATAGGATGCTTCATCTAAAATGAGAGTATCCACAAGAGGCAGCTATTGCAAAATGTCTGCTGCAAGATATTGTATTCCACTTAATTTTCCAGTGTAATTAAATCCAGAGGATAAGTGGGAGGGGAGGTGGAAAGAATGGTTCCTATATTCCCCATTAATTATGTTCTTAAGAGCTACAGAGCCTGGAAAAAAAAGGGTTGGCTGACACAGTGTTTTCTTCATTTACAAGCTCCGAGGAGTTGTCTTTTATCCAAAAAGAACCAAGCCCTACTCGTTATATGGACTAGCATGCCTTTGAAATAAATTACTTCCATGAAAATCTCTCTTAATAAAATTTTCCCTCATTTTAGGGCTACCTGTTTCCTGTCACACATCATTTAAGCCATAACTAGACACCAGTGCTGAGCAGCTAGGAGAAGTTATTTCCTTTTGTTTGTGACCATAAAAGCACATGCCAAAACAACAAAAGACAAACTAAACCAGACCTTCTTATTTTGGTGCACGATTGTTTGAATACATGCCTTCCCAGCCATTGCTTGGTCTAGCTGAAAGGAATGTCAACAAAACCGTGTTTATAATACAAGGAGGAATATGGAAGTTCCCCTGAAATTTTATTTAGGAAACTAACCAAGGAGACTACAGCTGGAAGCACAGGTTACACCTTTAACAGAAGTGTTCATGAGCTTCAGCAGTTTCACATTTAGCCCTTGATTTTCATATACAAGACCAATCCAAATATATTAAGAAAGAAGTACCCTGTGCTGAGGAGCAGGTAGGTAGACATCAGAGAGAGCAATATGCTGAATAGTCGCTGAAAGAGAAACGTGGGGCTCAGTAACGGCAACACTGAGGAAGAAGCTGCAATAAAAAGAGATCTGTCAGTCACTACATGCAAAAGATATCATCTTCTGTAACAAGATAACATTCTTCAAATCTTGATACTTCATGTACAGAAGTTCAATACTGGTCATATATGCCTTCCTATTTTCAGAAGTTAATTTTGCTGAAGAAAACAAAAGGTTTGGAATGCTTAATATTTATCAAAAGTAATTTCGGTTCTCTGTGATTTTCATTCCCTGACTTTCTACCTCATAGCCTTTATAATTTCTCATGAACTGATGTTACTGAATCCTTAAGAAGATGCAGAAGCACTACCCCAAAAAACAGTCAAACATGACTGTTCAATATTATGCAGAGCCACCTACCATGGCCCTGAGGATCTCTGGCAGCTCAAAGGCTGCCGTTACAGAGCCACTGCTCCACCACATTAGATTAGAAAACCTGCCACATTTTGAGGTGCAACTGAAAATACTGCTAGTAGAAATACAGAAACTGTCAATTTATTAGCTTCTCTACTTGAAAGTTTTAAAACAGGAATATTTAAGGAATTACAGGGGACCTATCTGTCATGATTCATGCCTCTTGCCTTCAACTTGTAACGCATTTCTCTAATGCAAGTGCGGGATCTTAAGAGTCGCATATCACTCCTTAGCATGGTCCATTGCTCAGCTCCCCAGCAGAGTCCATGAGACTCCTCTAGCTGGGAAACTACTGCAGGTGAGGACAGGGCCCAACGGTTTGCAGGAGGTGAGGAAAATTGGGAAGAGAGGAAATGGGCTACTGGAAGAGTGAGTAAAAGAGGAAGAAAAGCAGACAGAAAGTGGCCAGTGCTTGAAGCAAGGAAAGGAAGAAGGAAAAACACGTGATTTAATCTTTAAACCTGATTTTTTTTTAATATGAAAATTTTACATGTTTATAAAGAAGCATGCTGACAAATAACATTGGTGTGATTCTTCACTGTGGTATTGTGTGCTCACATTACTGAATCACTCAAAGACTGCATCAACAGTAAGTCATAATTAATAAATCTATTAAGGAACAGAAATAAATCTATAATATATAGAAAGTGCTCGCGTGCTTATTGTCATAGTATATATCAGTATTTATAGTAAACATATCAACAAAAGAGAGATGAGGCTGTTTCTAAAACCTGTGGGTCAGTATGCTTTACCTCCTGATTTTCAGCCCTGGCCACTGCTACAATTACAGAATAAGTGACTTAATTTCAAGGGTGCTCCAGCCTTTCAGCATCACTTGTAGCTTTCTACACTTACAGAAGGCCTGACTCAAGGAGGAACTCCAGGGACCTCACCACAAGTCAGAATGGCTGGAAAGAAATTCAGTGTGGCAACCAGCCTCTGTGAATGACACAACACATCAGATATGTATCACCCTCTGAGTGCAATCATAGATGAGAACAGATGAGTGGCTGGTAGGCGATAATTAACCTTTCCCTTCCAACTCTGATGTGACACATCAGATATTAACCATCAAAAGACCTGTAGGTTTCTGGCTGACCTATACAAATCTCTGTATGTGTCCCCTGCACACAGTTGTGACACCAAATTCCTCAAAATTTGGCAAGTTGCTGTGATAGATCTCCACTGACGGAAAGCTTAAAACATAATATACATTCATTTAGAAATGTCTGCTAACATAAAGATGGTTCTGAAGAACATGGGGAAGCAGCTGGATTAAGTTTATGCCTCCTGGTTTTACCTCTATGTTTGTGGTTAACGTGCACTGCATGAACCATATGGTGTAACAGCTAAAGCCAGCTGGGCACAAGCCTGCAGGAACCCACCCATCACTAATTCATTTGCCTACTGATAACTGTATGTTTCTGGTTATATAAATACACACCGAGGTGCAAAATGAAGTTCAGTAACAGTGCCATTCTTCCACAACTACGCAAAAAGATGAAGAGGAGTTTGACCACATGTAATGCCACCAACCTTGAAAAAACTACAGTAAACCTTGGTACCTTAATTATTATGGTGCCCCATTTGTGGTACACGTTAGTGACAAGGCAGATGCTAGCTGTGGTTATGGTAGGTGGCAAGGCATTTCTCTCCAAAGGAGTCCTGAGGACATGTTGTCGGATGCCTTAGCTTTTTACCTGCTTAGTTCTGTGTTTAATTATGTAGAGCAACTTCAGCAAGTACATAAAGCTCTCACTTTGTATACCATATTCACTTAAAATAATTACTGCCAGAGCGAAAGACTGTGCTAAAATATTCAATACTATTGTGGGAGCAAGTAGACTTTTTGGGTACATACAGTTTACGTCCGTGTTTGCTTTATTTTTATCATAGAAACATCACCCACAGCAAAGTGAATTTCTAATCTACTTTTTCCTCATAACTCTAGACCTCTCTGCCTAAATCATCTAACAGGAAAAATGTTTTTTCTCTCACCCTTACACAGGAAAGCGAGATAATTTTTACCCTCACCTCCTGCTCCAGTAAGCCAAGCAGAACACCATTGATTTCATCGACTTTAAAACTGCAAGGAATTAATCCACACAGAGATCCCCACTTAGCTTAGCAGGCTACAAAGAGTTAGGAAAGCACGATGGAAAGGAAAATGCTCCAAAGAAAACTACATTACAAAGAGAGCATTGCTCACACACACACTGATCACAATCAGTTGTATTAATCTTTAATCCATTTGCTCAAACAGAAGCAGGATTGCTAAACCTGACAAGATCTGCTTAAATTAAAACAATGTCACCAATACAGGAACGTACAAGACATCCAGCGACTTCCGCTACACTACGTTTAAATACCTGGTCTTGACTTTTAGCAAAGAGCTGCTATCAAACTTTGCATGGGATATGTTTAGCTCTAAATCTAAAACAAATCCCACATTCCAGATGACTCAGGGATAAACAATGCTTAACATTTTCTAATAGAGCCCTGAAGAAATTATTTTATAGCTGAAATACGAAAGGTATTGCTTTACTCTATTCCATAACCCCAGTAAGAATTACATTTGCTCCATGCAACCAACCTAAGATTTTAATTTTAGAATGTTGAAAAGTCCATAGACTTGTCAATTGATTTTTTCTTTAATAATTAGGTTCTAACAGATATCAAACATACATTAGCATCATTAGTTCACAGGTATTTTACAAGGCGGCTCTGAAAAGCACTTCCATACCCCAAGGGTCTCCACCACCAGCTGCAACTTCAAGTTTCTATTGAAATACAGCACCAATCTTTCCTCACTTCCCTATGCTTATACTGGATTGCTTGCAGAACATCTCAGATCACCCTTATCTGGCTCCAAGTGAAACAAAAAGGGAATTTATACCATTATAACCCTAAAAGGGGTCTTCAATATATTCAGAATATTCAAAACAAAAGATAAAGCTACTCGTAAATCAAAGTTGTTTGCATTTTATTATAAATCTAGAATGGAGTAATATTTTAGAAGACTTTCTAACACATTCCTCAAAAATACCTCATTTAGGGAAAAATAGTGAACACGTGTGAGAACTATTAGGAGTCAAATAAAGGAATATGTGCAAAAGTAAGGTGTTAATAAAAAAATATCACCACCCCTATCCAACCCCAAACCCCACAAACTATCAGCATCCAAGTTTGGGACAGAAAATGTTCTTACCTAGAGTCATCCAGCTAATAATTTGATTCAATACAGGCAATCCCTGTTTGTTCTTAAGACTGTCATGGGTACTGCTCACAACATATGTTGAAAGTGCAATACTCAACATCTAGGAAGAAGTAATCAGACAATGAAACACAATTAATTTTTGGATCTCTGTCATCACATACCAAATATGTAAATATGCTTTTAGAGTTGCATAAACACCTCATCTGAATCAACATAAGAACAGGAAGTCTGATATGTAGTGTCGAGTATTTCTAGCTTTTTACAATTCACGTTTTTAAAAACTTTCTTCTAGGGTTTTTTTTATTCTTCTCATTATTATTTATTTGCGCTATTTTTAAATAGTTTAAACACGTGTCCTGGATCACTGATTTGACAAGATATGCTCTTTGTCAAGGCAATTCCTTAAACACTCATGTAAACCACAAAAAACATATGCCCCCAGTTTTTCAAGGAGCACTTTTCCTCAAACAGCAACCACAAAGAACTAGCAGAACCTCTGGCTTTGCTGCACGTTAAGGTACAGGGTGAAGGGGAAGCCTAGCTAAGGCAAGAGCTTTGCATGGGCAGCACAGCTCCTGTAAGGAGAGACAGCAGCAGCAGAGCAGATTGGAGATGGATTTCAAGGGATGGAAAGAAGGTGCAATCTTAGGAGACTGTTCTAATGATACTGGCTGAACCACCTCAAGCAGAGCCCTCTGCCTTGGAGAAGCAGTGAAGCTGAAGAGGGCTTTTTTTTTTCCCTTTGACTAATTCAAGAGACAGCATTCAGTCATCAAGTAGGTGCAAAAAACCTTAGGAAAATTACCCCATGAGTTGGTTATTTTTGAAAGATGACAGTTATCCAAGAAAATGCTTGAGCCAAATTTTCAATTACTGCTATTTATTCACAACTCTGCTGTTCCACTAAAAGGCAAATCAAGCATGCAAGCATTACTTTGCAAACATGTACTTTAAAACTGCATTATAAGATATAATTGCTGTTGTGGCTTTTTTAGTGCAAACCAACTGCACAGTGTTCACATCCAACATTTTTTACCATATGAATAGTTTCCATTCCCCTGCAGATGCAGTGATACCTGGTGGTACCTGCCCCGAGGATACACTTAGCAGTCAGCATCCTTTTTTGGCCCAGCTTCACTGGTGCTCGGTATCTCCTGCTTCTATTTTATCTCAGGCCACAAGAACATGGAGCTTGTATTTCTCTGTGACATCAATAAACTAGGTCAAAGCATTAGGCCTCCAAAAGCTCAGGGAACTGGCCCCTTTAGACCTCTGATGTTTATTTGGGATGCTTTTGCTGTATTCAGGCCAGATCTCTACCCTTTGATATGTCTTTTCAACTTCTTTTAGTGTCATGAGCTCTGGTAATCCCTCTGCTATCCCCCTAGACATTGGTGAAGTCACTTTGCACTCACTTTGTGTCATCTCTCATAATATATCTTGTGCCTTGGAAGACCTGTGATGACCTGGGCACGTTAGTAAACCCAATTTACTGCTGCTAGATCTATGCCAGTGTCCAGGGAAGGGCTCAGCATCTGCTTTTGAGACTCCTGTGTTCACAGTTTAAGTAAAGTTCAAACTGCTCTCAGCTTTCACCAACATCTCCAGGACTGTGGAACAGTGCAGAAGCAACCTGGAGATGCAAACTGAAGTCTGCAGCTAAGAATCTGTCTTCTTTCCCCCTTCACAACCTTCTTTGAAGTTCAGAGATTATTCTTGAACAGCTTATGAGGTGGCCTCTGAGAAACACTCATCTGTAGGTCACAGCTAGAAAGAGGAAATCAGGGGTGACATCTGCAGTCCCAACACGTCTTTGCCAGCAGCTCTGGCTGGGAGCTCTCCTAAGCATCTCATATGATAACAACCCGTAGAGAGAATGGTAGTAGAACCAGTATCATCAGCTGGACACTATACAAAGCTGGTTGAAAACACTCGTCCTGTCCCCCCAGTTCCACTGATACAACATGGATTCCGACTGTTTATTTCTCCTAATTTAAAGGAGAAAAATAAAAAACTGGCCACCTTGGATCCACATGAAGCACAAGACTCCAAGGAATAATAAGTTGGCCCAACATTATCAACTAATGGGAACAGCAGTGTTTCTGGTAGTGCAGCAAAAACTGGACTTCACCTATGAAACTGCTGGCAAAGAGAAACTGGTGTTCTCTCCAGCAAAAAAATTAAGTCGTACAGTAAACACTGATGTATTTATAATACATCAGCAGTCTAGCTGATGGATTATAAATAACTCCTGTTTCCACCAATCCTGAAGCCTTAATGACTTCTCAAGGGTCACAGAATCATTTAGGTTGGAAAAGACCTTTTAGAGTCCTCAACACTGCCAAGTCTACCACTAAACCATGTCCTTAAGCACAACATTTACAAGTCTTTCAAATACCTCCAGGGATGGTGACTCAACCACCTCCCTCCCTGGGCAGCCTGTTCCAATGCTTGACAACACTTTCAGTGAAGAAATTTTTCCTAATATCCAATCTAAACCTCCCCTGGCACAACTTGAGGCTGTTTCCTCTCATCCTATCAATTGCTACTTGGGAAAACTGACTGACACCCACCTTGCTAGAAGACAGAAGTAGCATTAACCAAAAGATAATTCTCTCCTTACCATAGCAAACAAAATTCAGAAAAAAAAAATGTTATTTCTGCTTTAATGATATCATGAGAAAACCTGAGAAACTCTTAGCAATTTTCAGAACTTATGAGGGTGTAATTAGTATCTTCTGCCTCAAGCAGAGAGTGACATGTATCAAAACTTCAAAATTAGGTCTAAACATAACTGAAGTTTCTGTAACAGAAATGTAAATGTAATCATATGAAGTTACTCAAGCTTGCATTTTTACTTTAAAAAATTTATTTATACACTTTTGCTGAAAAATCTTTTTGGTCATGCTGTTTGGTTGTCTGGGACTTCTTTGGTTTTTTTAAGGCTAATACCCATGTTGGAAATCTATGGTGTATAGGTACAAAAACCAGTGAATAAATGAGTAGCCTGTAAATGACCTCTCAGATCCATACAGGTATGTAATTCATACTCATTTTCTAAGGTGTACACTCTGTCCCATCCATGGAGAAACCAACTCAAAAATCCATAGTTCAGGATCAAATCAGAGGGAATTGTCTTTTCTGTGGAGGGCTACATGCAGACTGGTGGGTGTTTTGCCTACTCTGAGGGTCTCTGCCAACTCAGGTTTCTTTTTGACCAAAAAGAAAGCAATTCATGTAATGGGACAAGCTCTGTTTCTTACCAGGCATGATATCTTCACTACAGGCTAATTCCCAGATGGAAAAGGAAGGTCACTTGGACAAGAAAGAAGAAAGTTGTCTTCAGAAGAGAAATAAAAATTCATAAGCACAAGAAAAAGCGTAGGCTATGCTGAATCCCTCTCTTTCTCTGACTGAAATAGGAAAAGAACTGAAAAGGGAAGAGTCTTTGTTCAGATGCAATTCCAAAATAATTTGTGAAGAGTAACTCAGGCAAATAAGAGCTGCTTGAGCCTTTAAGAAATATTATCTCTTGTATGAAAATGCATCTCATCCCAAATGAGCAGATGCAAAAATTTGAGGCGAGGTGAGATGAAAGATTTAAATGAGGGTTCTTGCACACAAACACTACCAAAACAAAGAGGAAAAGGATAAATTAAAAAAAAAAAAAGCCAGGGGATCCTGATCAGAGAAGTTTGGCCAGATCAGTTGGTCTTCACGCTAAAAGGAAAAACACCTAGCAACACCAGCTATTCCTCCTCCATTGTGCAATTCAAAGGCTTTTAGTCAGAGCTGAACCTATAAAACATGTTAGCAGAGTGGCTAAGGAAATTCCCAAGACAAACCACCAAGAGTTTGCGGACGGGACACCATATTTTCCCTTCCACTTCAGCCAATACTTGAAAGAAAGTGGCACACAAAGAAGAAAAACCCGTACCACATTCATAATTAATCTATCTTCTCATTCCCCAAAATGAAGAAACATCAAATAACCAATCTTAGTTTCCTGTCTAGGAAGGAACAACATTATCAGAGGAAAACATAACCTTCAGTGACTGCCTCCAAACACCACATATGGGGGAGCTGCAAAAATTACTTTTAAGAAATCCCTTGTCAGATAAAAAGAAGCAACGTGTGTGCTTATGTATATGAATGTCAGTGCCCTGATCACTGTCTGTCATTGCAAAGTAAGTATATTTCATCTGACTAGAAGATTCATCTCACCCTTAAAACTGCCTGTGAGTTGTAAATCAAAACTCATGTGTTCAAAATGTTCCAAACCAGCTTTTCCGAAGATTAACTCCTTCCCTGTCTCCACTGAAAACACCAACTCAAAAGAAAAAGGAGAACAAAGGGAATTCCATTGCCCAGAAATACTAGTCTTCTGACATTTTCCTTTTGCATTCCTGTACGTTTCAAAGCAACTAAATGCAACCTAACATCAAAACAAGTTATTTACTTAGAAATGGGTAATGCCTCTGTAATGTCCTTTTTCCCCCTCTAAGTCTGAATAATCTCAAGTTCCAATTCTTTCCTTACCCAGAGTGTGAATGGTGGATCCCACATCTTCCATTCCCAAGTAAGCTTTTGAAATAAAAACCTAATAGAGACTAGTAATTAGATGTCACTATTGTAAAATATCCTCTGATTAAGAAGCAATTTGAAGAGCTTTATGATCTTCTTAAAGGTTGGGAGAAAAATTAAGATGTTACTCCTTGAACAAACAGGCAGACCATTTTTATCTAAGTATCTCGGGGATCTGTGAGTGAATTTCCTGATTCTCTAAAGTTGGCTTGAGAAGAGTCTGCCATTACTTTTTGATTACAGATCTATTTCATCATCATTTGTGAGCTCCTCCACAAAGTTACACTGCATGAGATGCTGCAGCAGTTGTGTGGTGACTTGACACTGGCCAGCTGCCAGATGCCCACCCAGCTGCTCTCTCACTCCCAATTTGTTTTCAGGCATTCCAGTGAGAAATCCACCACTGAGTATGTACCGAAAATATCTGTCTTAAATGCTTAGGAAAGGAACTGATACTTCTTTTCCACAGTTAAGATGAAAGTTCAGAGAAACCACCAGCACATTATACATGTGTGTGCTCAGGTAAAGGCACTTTAAGCATTCCTTCTTTCCCCTCCTCCTTTTAACCAATTTGAGCTTCATACCTAAATCATTGATATAATCAATCCTTTGCTTAGCTCAATAAGAAACTCCAGCACATCAGCCATGACCAATAAAGCCGGTCCTGAAGTAAAACCGTTATCCTGTAATAAGTTTTTTTTTTTAAAAAAAAGGACAGCAGACACGCAAGGTATTATTAGAGGCTCTCTAGAACTTAATTAGCACCTACTACAAAAAGACCTACCTATTTCATGAAGCTATAAAGAAAAAAAGTCTCATCTTTCATCTGAAAGAAGACTTAACCAACAGAAAACCAGCTCAGTACCAGTCTCACATTGTTATTCAACAGCCAGAAACTGGAAAGAACTTCCTGAACCAGGAAGCCTGTCCTTAAGTGTGTATGTGCAATTCCTGCAAAGGTCACTGGAAGTTACAAACAGACTGAAGGCTGGACAAACTCTCAAACTCTGAGTAGAGCATCAAAATGTGTATGCACATCTATGTACCAACACACATAAATATGCACAGGATGAGTTTTTGGGAACAAAGCATTATTATATTTAAAAATGTGTATTACCATGAGCACCTGGTCCTCTTGAAATAGTCAAGGGAAAAACTGTTAGGAACAATCATTTTCTTCTCTAAAATCGTGGCCTTGGTAGGAACACGTTCTTAGGAAGTATGTAAAAATTTGCATGTAAACACCCTCTAACACTCAGAATTACTGAAAAGTAGCAACTGACCTGATAAAAATGTACTTTCAGATCTTCATTATTTCTGTACTTATTTTCTCTTTTACAAAGAGATGGCAATGAGAAGCAAGAGATCAAGAGAGTCAGCAAACCAGTTGCTATTCTGTAAAAACAAACAAAAGAACAATAAGATCCCAGGAAATATCAAAAGGTTCAGGAAATTTTCATGGAAATGTTCTTCACCAAGATGAAATAATTCATTACAGTATCAAGACTTAATATGTTGAGGAACTTCAACATCCAGCTTTAGAAAAACAAAATCCAATTCAGAATCAAGTGTGGGTTTTGGTTTGGTTTTTTTTTTGTAGTGGTCAGTTGTTTGGGGTTTTTTTTTGGTGGGGTGGGGTGTTTGTGGTTTGTTTTTGTTGTTTTTAATACAAGCTTGCCATCCATAAATACAGTTACACTCTTTTAATGATAATGGCAAAAAAATTTCTCCATTTTGGACACGTGTCTGATCTGTTACCCATTACTTTTAGGTACTTTCGATTACCTCCAAATAATATTTTGAACAAAGTAGTAACAGTAATCAGTGATGTAAACTTAGTGGTTTCAAGGTTTGACAGGTCTGTCATCTAAAAGGGTAATTTCACCACCATTACTATCAAATACATAGCTTCGTTTAAATGCAACAGCAAGACTAACAGGAAGATTATCACTCATCATGTAAACATGATCCCTTCAGTCATCAAGCAAGCAGAGGAACTGTAAAGGCAGCAGAAGTTTTGGCATGTTTCTCTGCCATGCTACAACCTTGATATGGAAGTAGTCAAACCATTCAGTCCTTGCTTTCACTTGTCCCTTGGTGTCCTGGTTTTGGCTGCAATAGATTTAATTTTCTTCCTAATAGCTGGTATAATGCTGTGTTTTGGATTTAGTATGAGAATAATGTTGATAACAGTGATGTTTTTAGTTGTTGTGATGTAGCTGTAGTGCTTATACTTAGCCAAGGACTTTCCAGCTTCCCACGCTCTGCCAGCATGGCAGTGCACAAGGAGCTGGGATGGGACACAGCCAGGACAGCTGACCCAGGCTGGCCAAAGAGATATTCCCTACCATATAACGGCACGCCCAGTACATAAACTGGAGTTGGCTGGGAGCAGGAATTGCTGCTTGGGGACAGGCTATTGATCACTGGGTGGTTGCATTGGGCATCACTTGGTTTTGTATATTACTTTATCATTATTATTATTGTTATAATTTTCTCTTTCTTTCCTGTCCTATCAAAATGTTTTTTATCTCAATCCACAAGGTTTTTTTCCAACTCTCTCCCCACTCCCACCTGCGGGAGGGGGGCGCGAGTGAGTGGCTGCGTGGTGCTTCATTGCTGGCTGGGGCTAAACCATGACACTTGGCATTTCCACTGAGAGACTACCGACAAAAATGTCCATTTGTGACTGCTCTACTCATTGTGGTTTCTCAGGCATAACAAAAAAATGTACAAATACCTCATATTCCATAAAAGCAGGCTACATAGGTGTATATAGCAATTTTCAAGTAATGATCTAACTGATACAGGAACACAGTTGCAGGCTAGTCACTCACAGAATAGAGGTTGGAAAGTATCTCTGGAGATCAGCCTAATTCAACTCCCTACTCAAAGCAGTGCCAACTACAGCAGGCTGCTGAGGGCCGCGTCTAGCTGGGTGTTGAATACCTCCACTGATGGAGACTCCACAACCTCGCTGGGTAACCTGCTCCAATGCTTGGCACCCCTCAGCATAAAAAAAGCTTTTTTCTTATGTTTAAATGGAAATACCGGTATCTGAATTTTTCCCCATTTCTTGTCTCTTCACTGGACACTAAGAAGTATCTGTCATCTTTACTCTTCTCCCACAGACAGGTATTTATATACATTGATATGATCCTCCTGAGTCTTCTCCAGAATAACCAGTTCCAGCGCTCTCAATCTCTCCCCCAGGATAAGCAGTCGCAGCTCTTGCTCGCTCTCCTGTGACAGATACTCTAATCCCTTACTCATCTTAACAGCCATTCTCTGGACCTAGTCCAGTAGTTCCACATCTCTTTCCGGAGAGCCCAGAACCAGACACAGCACTTTCAGATGAATGTTATCAGGACTGAGCAGAGAGGAATAATCACCTTCCTCATCATCACTCTGGTGATGCCAAGGATTCCACTGGCCTTTCCTGCAAGAGGCACATTGCTGGCTCGTGGTCAAACCAGTTGGTCCCAGCCTGTGCTGGTGCACGGAAATTATTTCTGCTCAGGTGCAGGACTCTGCACTTCCTTTTTTTGAACTTCACGAGCTTCCTGTCTGCCCATTTCTCCAGCTTGTTGGGGTCCATGTGAAGGGCAGCACGTCCATCTACTGCAGCAACCACTTCTCCCAGGTTTGCATCACCTACAAACTTGTTGAGGGTGCATTCTGTCCTATCATCTAGGTCAGTAATGAAGATGTTAAAACAGTATTTACCCCAGTACCAACCCCTGCTGTATACCACTAGTGACCGGCCTCCAGCTGGCTTTGTGCCGCTGTTTACAATCCTCTGAACTTGACAGGTAAGCCTGTTTCTAGTCCACCTCACTGTCCACTGATCTAGCCTGTATATCATCAGTTTGTGTATGAGGATGTTATGGGAGACATATCAAAATCCTTGCTGAAGTAAAAATAAACAACATTCACTGCTCTCCCCTGGCCCACTGAGCCAGTTTTCTAATCTTAGAAAGCTACCAGATTGGTCAAGCATAATTTCCCCTTCATAAATTCGTGCTCACTACTCCCAATCATCTTCTTGTCCTTCATATGTTCAGAAATGGTTTGCTTCCAGGATTATTTGCTCGAGTACCTTTCCAAGGATTGAGGTGAGGCTGACTGGCCTGTAGTTCCCTGAATCCTCTGCCTTGCCCTTCCTGAAAACAGCAGTGATGTGTTTTCTTCCAGTCCTCAGGAACCTCTCCCACCAGTGATTGCCACAACTCTTCAGATTATCACAGTGACATTGACCAGCTCCCTCAGCTCTCTTGGGTGTATCCCATCAGAGCCCACAGACTCATGCATGTCCAACTTATTTAAGTGTTCCCTAACCTGAGTCTCTTCCATTAACTTTATGTCTTCCTTGCTCCAGACTTTCCCATAGGTCTCAGTAGTCTGAAGGCTGGGGTTCCTGATGGCCAGCCTTACCAATAAAGATGGAGGCTAAAGAAGGCCTCAGCTTTTCCATGTCCTTTATCACCTGTCCCAGTCAGCAGCAGGGCCACATTTTCCCTTGTCTTCTTTTTGCTGCTGTGTACGCTGTCTTGTTGCATGTTACATCCCACATTAGATTCAACTCCAGGAGAGCTTTGGCTTTCCTAACCTATCCTGCATATTCAGATAGCAACTGTATGTCCCTCCTGGGTCATCTGACCCTGCTTTCACCTCCTGTATGCTTCCTTTTCATGACTGAATTGAGTCAGGAGCTCCCTGTTCATACCATATGAGTTTTATTAATGTACTGAAGAAGCCCTGACCTGACACACAGTGGCCACTGCTCAAGAACAGATTTAATATATGCACCTATTTCTCACTGGCAATCTAATTTCTCCCTCCTGTACCTTCTCTCCTAGCATCTGCTTATCTTCAATATCCTGAAGTGTCACACATACATATATTTTTAATTGTTGCTTCAAGCCTTTTCAGCTTCAAAACTCGCTTGACAAGATTCACGCAGGCACAAACTGTTTCAGAGGTACAATGTTTCATTAGAAGAATAAATAGGGAGATGTACAGTCTGAGTAAAGTGAATGTAAAGAAGTGTCAGGGAGGAAGATCTGAAGGTAATTTAATTCCATTTTGATTTCTAAGCTGTGCTCAAATGTTCTAAAGCATAAACCCCCCCCTCAGTTTGGACCAGCAGAAATACATACATGTGTATATACAGCCAAGAGGTCGTAACACAGCCAGAGCAAATCTATCCTAAACATTTCTAATGTGCCCAAGCATCAAGACTAAGAAGGGTTTTCAATAGATAGATTTAAATCACATTGAAAAAATATCAAGACAGAATGTCAATGATTTTGGAAATAATCGGGGCTCATAATTCTATCTGCAATCACATATTACTGCTCAAATCCTGTACGTTACTGAGGATTGAGCACCCTGGTTCTGGGGGGGTACAGTATCTTCTGCCAGACAGCAGAAGGAGCCATTGCAGTCTAGGTCAATTCAAGCCTTGCTCTGCAGTAACTACAATGATACCACAAGTGGAACGACTTCAGGCCAAGCACCTGGATTGCATCCAGATATGAGAGTATGTTTCTCTGATGAAAGAGTATCTCACAGGAGGAGAAAGACAGGCAACAAAGATGTACTAGAAAAAAATGCAAATCAACAACTGTAGAAAAATCAGACAAGCAACACCAGAAAGGAAAAAGCAGAACAGAAGCAGAAGTGGAAAAAGACGAGACAAGGGAGACACCAAGGAAGAAGAGAGCTCTGCCTATCCTATTTGTTCTATTTCCCTGAATATCTCATTAGGTACAGACTGCTATTCAAAGGCAGATTATTCAAAATTAGATGGAGGAAATCAGAAAGACGCTGTCGAAGTAAATTGCTTTTGAGTAAATGGTCCTATTCATATATGTCACTGCTATTTACCATGTTTGCACCCCAGTGAAGCACCTCCTTTAATGATAACCCTTATTTTCATGTAAAGTTTGCAAATTTTTGTATTGTGAGAAATGTTTCCCTCGACAAGAAATAACAGAATAACACAAAGGACAAATGGATGTGGCAAAAGAATTAAAAGTCTATTCCCATTCACATTAGTGAATAACTGATGTCTCTATAATCATGTTATTTAAATTCTGAATTTCAATACCTGTCTCAGCCAGCTTTCAATAATACAATTCCTCACATATATCAAAAGTCAGCCTAAATTTTGAGTATCAAAGAGGGAAATAAAAAGTTTAAAGAAAACCATGAGATTCTTACACCAGAGGAATGTTTGGTTCTCTTCCTACAACAGGCATTAATGGAAATACTGCCAGGAGCACACACAGAAGACTCCAGATCAATGCTGTTGTCTAAAAGAAGAAAAAAAAAATGGAATTTTTTGGAGGTCGTGTGGACAGACAATTGTCTAATCAGAAAAAAAATATTTCAGCAAACTACTAACGACTACTAGCATCTCCCACAGGCAAAAAAAACCCTGCATCTATCAAGAGTAAAATCAACTGAAAAAAGGGCACAGGATCATTGGTATTACAGCACTTCAATTTAATACGGAAAAGAATCTCATTTACACAGCTGTCAAAATCCTATCAAAGACAACGTGAGTTAAAGCTGAGCTTATACTTAAAAGCACTTTCTCAAAGTGTGGCCTTCACACACATTGCAGTCACCAGAAAGGTGATGAGTAACCCTCTGGAAGAAAGGAGGAAAACTAACCTCATCGGTAGTTCCCAGCAGCTACCTAATCACCTGTTCCCTATCAATATGGTAACATTTTCCAGTCTTTGAATCTGAATGCCATTTTATTTAACCACCATAATCGTCTAAGTAGTTCTCTAAATTCTTTGCTAGGGGGAAAAAAACCCCAAACTATTGCAGGTATTTTACTCTAAATAAAGACATTAAGAGATATATCACTTCAAGTTTTCAAACTCAAGTCAGATTCAAGTTCCTGAAAGGAAGTGTTCAGTGCTACAAAACACCTTCTGTGTATACCCAGCTTTAAGACAACTTACTTGATTACTCAAATACAATTAAAAAAAATGAAAAGAAACAAACACCAGCCTCCATCTTGACAGTTCTTGCAGGGCAAGACTTGGCAATTTGACTCAATTTTTTTTGTTGTTTTAATTAAAATGTTAATGTTACCCCAGAACTCTAGGTTTTAGCTGTTCTGTGAAATAAGAGATGTTTGAATAAAATAATGGAAGAAAAGTCTCTTACATTAAAGGTTGTGCCACTTCACACCCATATCTACAAGAGTGAAGTTTTTTCCTGGGAAAAACAGCACAGAAAGCTGCCTCAGAGGAACGAACCATTGCAGACAATAATGAATTGACAAGCGTTTTTCAGTTATCAATTTTTTTTTTCCCAATAAATGATCATATTACTTAACTGGTGGCACTTTCACAAATAATGTATGTCAATGTTTTTGTCACTGTGACAATTTGATAAAGTATCTGTATTTCATATGATTTTAAGTCAAGCATATTTTAGTTATCATTAACAACAGAAGACTGATAGCTAACTCATAGCTATCCTGAAATTCTTAAACAGTCTTGTTAGTTATCTTGTATAAGAGATCTATCCAGATCACATTAAACTACCTTGCCTTGCTAAATGCTGCTCATGACAGAGATCAGAATAAGAGCATAACTTAACAAGAATCTAAAGCAGCATTCCAAAGAGCAGTCCCAACATCCTAGATGCAATCAGACATCAGCCATTTAAAATGCTCTTTTTAAGCAAAGCAATACAGTACCTTTGCTTGAACCCACAGCTGTGTCATCACTGGCCAGCCAGCAAAGACAAGAAGACCAATAGTAAGTGCAGAGCGGTAGAAAAAGCTGAAGACCTAATGAAAAAAAATTCCAACAGAAGACTGAAAAACAAGCACATTGATAAAACTTACAATTCCTTAAAGAGGTAGAATGTTAGCAATGAGATACCCTGTTGATACATACGGATAAAATACTTACTAGTATTTCAATTCCCAGTGTACAAACCAAGAGGAATCCTATAGACTGACTGATATGAAGTGATAAGAGATTTGCAGCAAGGTCTTGAAAAACAGGAAGTCTGTTCAAAGTGATGGAACAAGATAGTAATTAATTTTTAAAAACAGAAATAATATAGGATTTTACCTTCGAAGGGCGGGGAGGGGGACAGAGCACAAGAAATGTTTCAGGTATTGCTGATCCTGCAATATGGGTGATGGTGGGTGATGGCCTGAGGCTCCTTCATCCCAGTTTTAATTGATATAAAATCTACAATAAAACCCTCAAGCTTCTTCCCTCCCATTTCTGGCATATCTTCACCAGTATTTGGACAGAAACTACTCTGAGTTTATGAGCATTTTTGGTTATGCTGTGCTTAATGTCCGTCATAACTGATGAAACATCCAGAAGATTTAGACAGAGAAAAAGAAATCCCCAGTTAGTTTTTCCACTGTTTTATGAGGCAGCTCATTATCTAACTGCAGTTGGTCTCATTTTGTCTGAATAATACCAAGTTGGTATCTACAGAATTGCCACTAGATTAGGTAAGTAATGGCAATCAGAAGGTAAAAAGTATTTTTGGATTTGCAGTAAAAGGAGACCCAAACAAGACAAGTTTGTTTCAATACCAGAGCACAATCTGCAACATGACTAGCACACATTCTCCAAAAGCAGCTGGAGTTCAGCATACCTGACACTTTGCAGTATCAGACTATTTCAAAGTTAATGAAGAAAAAGAACAACCTGTCCCATTTGACAAAAATCAGGTATTTACCCAAGATTTTAGCATCCTTTTGCTACAGTTACAAGAGTACTAAAAACATTCCATCTTGGAAAGACATTAATTTATTTTTGCTAATAGAAAAGATATCTTCTAGAATTGGTAGCTGTATCAGGCAGTTTGGAAACTACTCTATATGTCAAGTGAAATATAAACCCGAGTCCTGTGGAATGTCTCAGGAAGCATTTCAGGAAGTTTAATAAAATTATATCTAAATTTTTCTCCCAAACTTACAGGAAAAATTTAATTGTCAACAAAAAGGAAGCACAGACTTGGTTTTATAAAACATTCTTCATAAAACGTATTCTTTACTTACTCTCTGACAACTGCATACCATATTGGTACTGGCAAGAGACAGTATATGTAGTATGTCCAAGGACATGCTTGAATTAACAGGAAAAAAGCTACTATCAATCCGAGAAAGGCAAAACTGTAGAAAAGAACAGTAGATTCCTGAAAAACAAATGGTCGGACAAACATTCCTGAAACAGCAACAAAATGTTTTAACCTACACACTATTTTCTATTTGTTAGTTACACAGTAAAGCAAATGTCATTTTAACACAGCCACTCAAGCTGCCTTGTGTCTATGTACACAAGTCTGGACACTGTTTCCAGCCAGATAAAAAAACAACAGTAGGATTTGAAGATCTAATTCTAAATATGTCTCTACATAAGGTCCTGCAGTAAAATCTCCACAGGCAAGGCACACTTGTACAATCTGGAAGCCCAATGTACGCAGTATTATTTATGTCCAATGGATTCTTGAAATCCACTGGAAGTCAGAAATGTTAAAGGTCTTGGAAAAAAGAAGTCTCTTACATTCAGATTCTAAAAACAGACTTTGAGCATAACCTTTTGAGTTCAAGTTCATAGCATTACAGTCAAAAGATTTAATGAAAATTCCATTAGCACATTTCTTCCTCCTGCTTGAGACACTCAGAGAACTAATTAAATTAAAATATAAAGTGTCAACTCCGACTGGAAAAAACCCAACTCTTCAGGATCTAGGGAAAACTACTGAAGGAGGTTTGAGACCAACCTTCCACAGGAGAGATGGACTTACTCAAAGAACCTACAATTTCAAAATACAACAGAGGACTAGAGGGGCATGGCACTAAAAGGTTCCTAGCATAGCTAGAACTGTTATTATATTTAATCCTAACCTACAACACCAGCTTTGCACTTTTCTTAAAAAAAAAAAAATTAAGATATGAGATTAGAACATTCTCCCTACCACATACTCAAAGAAACACATTCTTGGACTTGAGAGAGCTGTAAGGAGGAACATCAAAGACAGAAACAAAATCTTTAAAACGGGTATTCTCAGACAGGTATGCTTGTCCTTAATCATCAGGTAGCAGCAATCTCTTGTTTGTACGAAGAGAAGCATTTAAACAATCACTCTGCATCTGCCTTTTACCTGGTCATTGAACTACTCTTCCGTATTTAGGGACATTCAGGTATCAGAAGAATTATTGGTAAGGGAAGATTATGTACCAGTTTTAAATAAACAATTTTATGTATTGCACCTTGACATAGCAAAGGCAGCTTTAGTGGTTGAGCAGTCTTTAGTGTATTGTGTAGATAATGACTGAAGACACTGTTTTCTTCTACACGAATGCCAATTTCTTTGAATAAGTTATGTAGACAGATACGCAACTATGTTAAATATGCTGAAAAGATATTCAATTAGCGGTTCACATAGACAGGTTAACAATTTTTCTGGTCCCCACTGTAACTGACATACAACTGCCTTGATCTAAAATGACAGCAAGTGCAAGTTCTAAATGATTTTTAAGATAGAATTTCTGCTGAGGTATGCCATTAAAGTATGAAAAAATATGTCATATAGAAAGCTGACCTAATGCAACTTTGTTTTATGAGTTTTTAATTTCACATTTGCTGACATATAGACAGAATAAATATATACAGATATGATATGCACACAATGTAATTTATCACTGAATGAGTAAACACATACAATCAACATTTTATTCCATATACAGACATAAATATTGTAGAATCCAATATAGTTGGTCATGCATTGAAAATGAAAACCAGTTTTGCATTTTCTGTGGGTGTTTAAAAATAGATTAAAAGGTTAGGCTTCTTGCTAAGCGAAACAAGACACTACTCCAAACAAAAATGTTTTTTCACATGCCGCATAAGAAGCCAAAAACTTTTAAAGATGATATATACAGGTTATGCAGTTTCATTATTCAGAGGCTCCTTTCAGATTTTATAAGGCTGTGCTTTGCAGAAAACTATTTGCCAATGGTAAATTAGTTTCTCAGCAAAATTCTTTAAGTAGCTCCAATATTAGCTATAAACCAAATAGCTTCCATATATGAAGGATTAGCCTCACACTGTGATTCTCTAAGTATTTAGGAACACTAAAAAAGGTTTCTACAGAAAAAGGCCTCTTACTAAAACTGAGGAAAGAAAAATTCTATAGACAAAGAACTAAGAAACCTTTTTTTTTCTACCAGTGTTACTAGCATAAAATGTGTCTTCAACAAGTAAAATCAATACACCAAATGAAAACTCATGTCAACCAAAAATGTGAAGTTTTTGCTTAATGTAGTTATTAATATGCCCTATACTCAGTCTATTTATTGTAATTATTTTGTTCATATCTAACAAAACATGCATCTTGGATTATTTCTTCTCAGTTTCTTGATGAAAGAAAACCTAAATCATGCATTACAGCACTTATGAATATTTTCCGTTTCAATTTTGTTTGATCATTTTCATTAAAGGCCAAGACTATCTCATTTCGGCCAGCAGTAAAAACCTCAAGATAGCATGATAGGAATTTTCTGAGTAATATATTGAAGGCAGTAAAGATGCTAAGTGAGTGCTCATTCTCATTTACATTATCAAATGAAACAATTCCTTTTATTCTGAAACAAATTCTTGAAGTTTGGGAGATTTCCCCCCCCTAAGGCTTTAATCCTTCTCCAGTGAAATGCTAGCTTTTTGCCTTTCACCTTCCTGAGATCTCTTTTTCTGATGAATGACTGAAAGTAAATGAATTTCCTAGGGTTTTGTACTTCGTGAAAAACCAAACCATAATAATCTTGTCAAAAAGAACTTCCTTCATCTTTGATCTCTTCTGCTGCACCCTTGCAAATCACAAAGAGCAAGAGAGCAAGCCAATTCCTGAAACCACAGTTCACCTTTCTATTAAAACAGGCTATACATTTTAAAAACACTATGACTGGAATGCACAGCTTCTGAAAACTGATTTCACATTGCCAAAGAGGACAGGAATAAAATAATTTGCATGGTTTTTTTGGCCTTTCAGTAAAGAACAAAAATCAAAATGGAAGCCGGAAGTCTGTATTCTTCCAAAAAAATAGTTACAACAGAGTGCTGAGTTTACTACCATTAATGCTGAAAATTGACTTCTGGTTAAAGACAGTTTCAAATCACTATGTTTGCTCACACTTGCATTAGCATTTAGTAAAATGCACAGCTGCAGGAAGGAACAAACTGAGAAAGCACAGTATTGCACACTCAGACTTACATGGCTTAAGAATACTGATCCTAATAAATGGACCAAACAGGAATGCTACGCAGGATTACAGTAGGTAGGAAACTCTGCAGGTTGCCAGTTTCCACATGCAAAAAAAGTGGCAGGTGTGCAATTTGTCCTGCAGAGAGAGACTGAGTGTACGCATAATGCTGAAAACTAATTGTAAAAATAATTGCATGTTTCTGACCTACCTTGTTATTCATCTGGACAGTCTTGGTCAAATCGGTATGGGTCTTGATAATCACCAAAATCACGTAAGTCGTCCAGCCCACAAAACTCATTGCAATACTTAGACCCAGGAACAATCTATCGTAAGTATGGTAATAAGACAAGCCTTCCAAAGCAAGGTTAATCAGGGTTTTGCACAGAGATACCTAGAGGCAGACAAAACATGTTAGCAACTGTTTAGAATGGTGTAAGCTCCGTTCCACAAATTGACCTGACAGCAGCTGGGGCTCAAGCAGCTCCGCCACTGGTGGCACATGTGTCCTCTCTGTGTTCAGGTAGTGTTTTGGCCAGCACCAACTGCTTGAGTACACATGGCTTTGGACTCCTGTTGGACAAAGTCAACCATCATTTGGCTCCTTCGCCATCCCCTCTGGCCATGACAGTGGTCAGATGGTGAAAGATACACAGATAGCACACCTTGAACACCACCTACTACCAAGCATGCCACTTGTTTTTCCCATGAGCATTTGACCATATATATATATTCCAGTATATGCGACACTCCAAAAAAACAGTCATGTGCTTCCAAAGGCACAACATTTCCATAGGAGGACTATAGACGCAGCTGAAACATGGTCACTCTCCACAGCCTGAAATACCCCCTTTCCTGGGGTTTGATGTCCTTTACTTCAGTAGTATCTGATGCCCCCAGCACTTTGCCTAAGCACCAGAGGTGAATTTAGAAACTGAACTGGAGCCCCAGTTTCATTCACAAAGCAGCTGCTTGGGGCTCTCAGGATGCAAATCATTTGCACATAAGAAGGGTTGTACCCAGTCTAGTCACAGGTCCCCTTACTCAGTACCTCCACTGAGGAAATGCTATGATAAAGGCAGTGTTTTTTCCCACTGTGTCATTCCTTACACAGAGCTGTGCTGACCCTTGTGATTTACCCAAAGATGGGAAGCTCAGCTGTGTAATTCGTGGCCACAGAGGATTCTCTGGTGATTAAAAGATCTGTAAGGAAGAATATAATAAGAAGTTGAGCATACATGCTGATGCTTCTTTATACATCTAGGTATCCAGTTGGGACTTAACTGACTCGACATCATTAGAACTGATGTCAAAATGCAAAATTTTGGAAACTTACAGTGCGATTTTATTTGTGTTAATGACATGTGTATCATAAGGAAGGAAAAAAGTTTTATTTCCCAGTTTCAAGTTAAATCTAAATATTTACATATAATAGAAGTTCCTGTAAAAAGTTTCTAGAAGGCACATAGCAAAAATAAACTTACCGCTTCATCATACTTCTGCTGCTGAATATATAGTCTCGTTTTCTTTAAAAAGTTGATTTGTTCAGCATCAGAAAGTGGTCTGTACAACAATATGAAAAGATATTAATGTTTTTTCTTTTCACAAGCAGAGGAAGAGGCAGAAAAAATTAAGTTTGTAATAAAAAAACTACTCTGGAATGAAACATACCAAAATACTCTGAACAAGGTAATTGGAACCAATCCATTCTTCTACATTCATCTTCACACTTGTGTCAACACTGCTGCTGTCTAACTCATCCCAAGATCTTTGCATTAAGAGACATTTCTTTTATGTAGGTGTTTCCATGTAATGCTGCTGAAAATTATCTCCCTTGTGCATTATTATTGACCATTGCTCTGGACAAGAAGGACTGCACATACAAGAATTAAGCAATTTAACTGATAGGACAGATGGTTGTAAGCAGTTCGTAAGCTTGTCAGTGTAGGAAGAATTGTTCAGGTTCCACACTAACAGTAGATGATACCTAATAATCCTCTCTCTGAAAAATAAGAGCTTGCCTCCTATTGCATGGGGAGCTATTAGCAGAGTCCCCAGAGCAGGGGATAACACAGTTACCTGGCTACACTGAGGTCAGTGATAAAAATCTCTTTCATTTTAATGAATTTTATCATCAACCTAAATAATTGCTACAGTCTTCCCTTATGGAAAGTAGCAACATGGAGAAACAAGCCAGTCAACAAACCTCCACCAAGCAAAGGGTGACAAAGCCATTTTTCCTGAACCATTTTTTTTTCCAAGTTAAGGATGGCAGCAGGCCTGAGGAACCCAGGCTTACCCTGGGCAAATTATAAGCCACAACACAGTCACTGTCACTCTAGGCACCACAGGTAAACTATCATGAGTCACAACTTTCTGATAGCTGATGAACATATACAGCAGTTTTCCTTCATGCCTTCCACAACACTGCTGTGGCACAGCAGCATCTCCTCAGCATCCCCAGCACATGATGGCCCAGTTGCATGCCTGCTTCCCTCACATGTGCTCCTTCACATGCCTCATACACAACCAACCAACTTCATGTTGCAGGCTGCGCCAAATCAGGACCAGTCCTGGGGTCTCACCCCTGCTATTTAAGTCAGCAGTAATCGCCTGTGTGGTCACTCAGCTGAACCACAGGGGCAGGTCTTGATCTGATGCAACTACTGCATGGAAATGCTCATTTCTGCAGCTCCCAAACACCTGGGAACCACTTCTGCCTACAACCCAGAAGCAGTTGATACATCATCAACAATACATACATATCATCTTTTGAGCCCTGAAATATATTAACAGGATTCTGTGCCTGAACAATCTGAATTCTTATTGCTAATAACATCCTGGTATATTTTGATACCGTTTCCTTGAGTTCAGAGCACAGCAGTATTGTGCAGGAGTCTTCTAAAACATTGGATAATAGAAGCAGCACGTATCTTACTTCTGAGAAAAGTAAATGAAATAACTGTATTAAAGAAAAATGTTTTACTCTCTTCCATCTGGAAAAGAATCAAAGGATGGTATCTATAAACAGGTAGGAAGAGAGAATATATGTGGAAAAGAAAGAAGGTAGGAAATGATGATGACACGGTGATGGTGTTTGATCACCTTAACTTTGGTAGAAGAACAAAGGATTTTAGAAAACAGAGTTGAGAAACAGTACAGTGAATGTTGGTTGTTCCTGCATCTTCATGACACATCCGTATGAAAGCCAACCTTACAGCTCCACAGGCCAAGGGCTATCAGCATGCAGCCAGCAACTGTGCACCGAGGCTGATGGTAACTCAAGTTAGAATCAGTTCTTCAAGTAGGCGAACCAGACCTAAGCACTGCCTCAAGGAAATCTGTAACCCTCAAGTTTTGCTAAGTTTTTTGGCAAGGGAAAGGGAGCAAAACAAGGTGGGAGATTTCACCATGTGTGGAGATTAATAGGAGGAAAGAAGTTACTTTAGCTTTTAGGTAAGGATTTTTAAAAATCTGGAATAAATATGAAGCAGCTTTATCTAGGGCTTAAATACACCCAAGATGTTCCAATGTTCACTGTCTCATTTTTATTGTTTTACACATACTATTTTCTGTGGATTTTATCCTTGTCATAGTCAATGCAAACTTTTAATATGCTAAAATTATCTTTTACTTTATATCTTTAGTCATTTAGCTATAAACCCCTTAATTATCTTTTTACTCTCAATGAATCATTTTATTATTAATGAACAATAGTCTCTACCTATTCCTTCTTAGATGACAGCACCTGGGATCTCTGTACATGCATGGTGTAACAGAATAAATGGGGTTTTTAAACAGTAAAGCTTCAGTAAGTCAAATGCAGAAGGCAATTATTTTGTCAAATGGGGTTACCATTAAATAGTGTGTTGTTAATTTTCAATAGCTAGCATCATACCACACATTTTATCTTTCTTCCATATACATGCTTTTCAAGATGCTGAATTTACAATGGTCTACAGATTGTTTTTGTAAAGGTTATGAATTCCACCAGAAACTAAGAACTGTTCATATAACTGCATCAAAATGCACATTTCATCCTGAATGCAAGGGTTGATTGTCATCTTAACATATTTTTTGCTTCTGTATTAAGCAAAAACTCAAAGACTTGATTAGAGAATTTTTGAATCTCATACCAGACTAGAAAGAAGAGTTACCAAATACACTGATTATCTCTCAATTAAGAAATGTGTATAGTTCAACATAAGCAGTTTAGCATTCATTGAGGACCCTGATTCACTTCCTAAAGCTGACAAAATGGATGGGAGATTTAAAAGGAGCCAGTTGCTAGATGTAGCAGAAAGCATAAAGAGACAAAGCTGAGCCATGAACAGAAGTGGAAAGTTGCATATAGAAAGAAGCCAGGAACTTCAGAAATGGTGGTTCTATAAAACTTAGAGGACTCGCCAAACAACAAAACCACAAGGAGGATTTAAATCTGAGAAGTTAAAGCCTGAACTATTATTATTAGGACCGCTTAATTTTAACTTAAACTATTTGAAAGGTTTCGAATATGAGACAGAGAGTGTCAGAAAAGAAAAAACAGATCAGAGTTATTTCCCTGTGTTTTAGTACACAATGTGCCAGAGGCACTACTAGTATGTCAATGGATTCTAAAGGTCACTTAATGCACACATACATGCAGTTAATATTAATAGTAATGAAGTAAATTTACTGATTAGAAAGATTCTGAACTTGAGAAAGAAAACTAAGGTATGTATATGTTCTTCCCAGCTACTCATCACCGAAATCCAAGTCTACCAAATTCAAGATGAATAGTCTTGACTAGTAAAATCAGAAATCTTTTTCCATAACACAAAAATACCCGTCCTATTAACAAACATGCACAAAGAGAATTTAGTCAGTGTGTATTCAGCTGTGTCCTCCTTTTCTTGAAAGTGTTGGAAAACATACGCACTGTAAAGTGTAGTACTCTGAGGTTTAACTTGCAAGAAACCCCAAGAACTCTATGGTCACATATATTAAAAAAATGCATGCATTTGCAATATCATAAAGGTTCTAAAGACTTAAGATTACATTCTTCACAGAAAACAATGGTGGTTCTACAAGACTAATTTTGTTTTTCACGATGGCTATCAGAGATTAACTTTCCCATTCCAGACAGAAATCACAGCTTCATCCACAGATAAACATAATTAATTATGAAACAAAACAATTGGGCTAATTGTGTAAGTGCTTATAAACTATCCCTTCTGAGATGTTAGCCACCCTTGTCATAAGTATACCTGACAAAATTCACCTTTCCAATGCATCATTCATGCTTCATATATTTGACAGCACTAACAAGACTGTGATGAAGTACTTTCACCATAGCAATGTCAAGGGGACCTTTCTTTGGCCAATGACTCTAGTTTATCATCATACTACAGAAATTACCAACCCCAACGGCATAGGTAGCATGCTGCAGTTGAACCTTGAAATAAAAATCTTGGTACAGAAGGACATGTCTTGCAAATACATCTGTATGCACTACTGATAGTTTAATTTTATTATGCCTGATTATTTACATAATGATTTATAGTAATTTTACTGTGCAGTAAATTTTCCAGAATTCTACCATAAAAAGTAATCCCTTAGGATCTGTAGTAGTTTAACACTTAAAATGCTGATTTAATGAATGAAGGTCAAGGAAGCATCACAGCCCTGCAGATGCAACATACAAAGAGAAAGGCTGAGATCTTTGCCTAGCTCACTGTCAGATGAAAACAAATTTATTTCAGCTGCTTCACTCCACACGTACACAAACTCCATGTACCTGACTACTGTCAGCTCATGCACATGTACACCCTTCTATCACTGCCTTTCCATTCTCCCCATCAGAAAAAAAAAAAATTACCATGCATCCTACAACCTTTTAAAAGCGGCAAGATTTGCAGAAGACATAATGATCACATTTCTATCACCCATATCCGGCAGCAACTCAGAAGTGGCTACTCAGCAGACTTCAGTCTAACTTTTCATACTGGCTGTTTAGGGGATGCGGAGAAAAGGACCAACTCCTCCTGTTGATGCAAAACTAAAAAAGATAGAGGATAAGGATATACATTCCTTGAACCTCATGATAGCCCCAAGATGGAGCAAGGCCATCTGAACACAGCCTGCTAGGACTTTGTACGGGCCGCCTTCTCCTGAACACCACATACGGCAGACCTTCTCACTCTCTTTGCTGTGAAATTTCTAAATCCAAAATTGTTAGCAGTAAAAGAGGCATCAGACTGCCACTGCCCAAACAACTCCAGCAGCCTCCTCTGCCAAAAGGCTGAGCACTCACAGGTTCTTGTCCGCTTCTCCAGAAAGTGGATCCCTGGCATCTTAGTAACTTGCAACCTTCAAGAAATCACCCAGGTTAACGTTGCCCCTCTCGCCATGAAGCTCTTCCACTGGCACCATCCTGCAGAGCAACCCAGGCCTCTGCCACCCACCCCTGTTCTCCTGCCGCTTGGCCACAGAGCAGGGCAGGCACCAGTGCCTCTCTGCTCTCACCATGGAGAAAACTGCCAGCAACAGAGGCAGCTGAATACGTTCAAACTCCGTTGCCACCC